CATACACGAACATTATTATGGCTTTCAACACTACATCATGGGATTGCAATGATTTACTTCATATCTCAAGCTGTGGCTTAGTTTCGATGGGGGCCATAGCAGAGCTAACTTCTAGCATTCTATTGATCCGAATTCTCAGAAATGCTATTTCCACTTTAAACAACGTCTATCAACGTGACTATTGGCTATCAATTCTTTCATCAAGTTTTGAAAGTAATTAAATTATTTTAAATTTTTTGGCATGATGCCTTTGTAGTTATTATTTTATTATTTATATAGCGCCAACAAATTCCGTAGCGCTGTACAATGGATGACAGTATATATGTGGTCCTTAGGTCAGACAATGTTTGAAAACTTGACAATCCTTGTTGTCTTACATGCTTCACTCCCTGCATAAATGCAGTGAAGGTTATAGACCCTGGCAGTTTTTAAACAATGTCTGGGAGTTTGAGGGTTCTGCGCAGTATCTTAGCTGTTCCTAGAACTGCCCTCTTTAGCCCAGGGGGCCAATGAGGGTTGGGGGGACCTAATGACCCTATAATGCCCGGAAAACGAGTTTGTTTTCCTGGCACTATAGTGGTCCTTTAAAGTCTGGCTAGTTGCTGAAGATTTAAAATGTAGAGCCCTGATATCATTCTGATAGTTTAGCACTGAAGCCAGCATGCCAGCTTCCTTTAGTTGGATAGCCCTGATTGGAGAAATGTTCTCAACAGGTCCAGAATGCAGGCAAAACTAGAGTTGGGTATTATAGTAACTGTATAATGCCCAGAAAGAAGTGAAGCATTTCAGCACTGGACCAAAGTATGTAGCTTTAATATTTTATCATTTATATTGAATATATAATTTATAAAATATATACATTACATATGAAGGTGTTTAAAGTGGACCTGTAATAATGGGTTCATTTTGAAGGGGCATGCCGGGCTGGTGGTGACCACCATTTTATAGCTAGCTCAGACATTGAAGTAACCCAGGCCATCATCCTGCTTCCATTATTTTCTTTGGAGCTAGCGAAGGGGCTGCTATCTGCTTTCTGACGACTCCATTCACAATTTTGAGCATAGAGCGTTTGGATAACACTGTACACTGCACTCCTCCACAGAATGCTGTAGCCTTTTTGTTACTTAAAAATTGGTATTCAACAGGCAGGAATCATTCTTTTCAAATTCCAGTCACAAAGCTCATGCCAAGTCTGTGTCCTTATGCTTCTTCACCAGGATCAGTTTAAGTATGCACCAACTCCTCAATATTTACATGTTATTTTAACCCCTTCACGATGGGTGACGTTTCAAATGAACTAATTAAAGATATAATCCAGGCATCCTAGCCATAACAGCCCACTGTAGTAATTATGATGCCAGGTGTAGCCTGACCCGTTCACCCGGTAATGGGACAACCAATGACAATACACACAAATACCACCATGCATTCAAGTACACACACAGAAATCCAACACAGATGCAGCCGATGACACTCCACACAAGTTGATAAAGTCCTGCATTCACACTGTCACTATAAACTAATACTCTCTCAAATTCATGCAACCTCCAGTTAAATTACACTTGTACTGCAAATATAGATATATGCGTTCAGACGCACTCAACTTCTTAAAAAAAATTAATAAAATAAAATACACCCCTGCATTCACACACACTAATACTTCATACAATGCACCTGATGTGTATAAAAAAAATACATGCTGTTTGTGTGTGTATGTATGTATGTATGTGTATGTGTGTGTGTATATATATATATATATATATATATTTATTTATTTATTTATTTATGAGTTGACCGGTAACTTTTCAGCCTTGACATATATGGATAATCAGATTTTGTAGTAATGCTCTGCTAGTGAAATGCATATTTATCTATTTTACCCTAAAACACCACATTTCCGATGTGGAGGTACAGCAGTCCATAAAGTACAAATATGGCAATTTTAGCAGCTGTAAAATATATATTCTCTCTCAGTTCACCCACACATTATTCAGCTACTGAGTTTCTCAAAATAGATTAATCTGTTCCTTTCCTTTTTTTCTTTTCATGTCTAGTATCTTCATATATTTTAGTTTTTACTGGTTAGTTGTTACGTGCCATGAGTCACAGGTTTAAGGCTAAATGTTTTCATATATAGACCTGTACGTTGAATAGTGGAAGCTCTGTGGTTTTCTTCTCCAAAATTTTGCACAAATTCTCTGTATAACTTCATCCCCTAGTAATATACAGAAGAGAAAAAACTTTCAGTGTTTCAGCATTTTTCACACACAGTTTGTCTGATTCACATACAAGTTGTGGGGCAGGGAAAAGGAAATACGTTTGAATGCTGCTTGATTCCCAAGTGTGTCTCTTGCCTGCATTGTTTTATGGAAATTAAAGCATAGCTCAATTTTCTTGCCTTTTTTTGTATTCAGGTTTCTTTAGCTCCCTACCTCTTTACATAAACCAGTATTGGCACAGTGGATCGATTAAAAAATAAAGTCTTAGGGATTTCATTTGGGGCATTTTAGTAATTTTGCTATCAGGTGATGAGTCCATATCATTTTATATTTTGCTAAAAAAAACATGAGAAATTCTGTCAAAATTAAAGAGACACTATAGTCACCAGAACAACTACAGCTTATTGTATTTTCTTCTGCTCAGTATAATCATTTCCTTCAGGGAAAATGCAGTGTTTACATTGGTCTGGGGATCCCTCCACTGGCCACTCAGATGGCTGCTATAGGTGTTTCCTGGGGCAGTGCAGCACTGCCATTCAGTGTCTCCACCCTCTGCATGGAGACACTTAAAGAGACACTTAAAGGGATCCTATAGTGCCAGGAAAACAAACCAGTTTTCCTGGCACTATAGGCTTCTGGAGTGCCCCCCTTCAGCCACTTACCCGAATCCAGCGCCGATGTCACTTGACGCTGGGTCAGGCTCCGCCCACGTTCTTCCCACCCCGAAGTCAGCCGGCGGGGGAGACTTAATGCGCATGCACGGCAATGACCGCACGCGCTTCAGACCCCCCCCATAGGAAAGCATCATTCAATGCTTTCCTATGGGGAAAAATCTGAAAAATCCTCCCTCTGCATGCAGACACTGAACTTTCCTCATAGAGATTCATTGATTCAATTCATCTCTATGATGAGATGCTGATTTGGCCAGGGCTGTGTTTAAGTCATGCTGGCTCTGCCCCTGATCTGCCTCTTTGTCAGTCTCAGCCAATCCTTTGGGGAAGTATTGTAATTGGATCAAGCCACCACTTCTGATGATGACAGCAGATTGCTTGGTGTTTTTTTTTTTTTTTGAGGCAAACAGCATGCAGATCTACAGCTTCTGGCTTGAATACAGTAAGATGTTGCTTTATTTATGGAGGCATGAGGGACCCACGTTTGTGTTCCTGACCCTATAGTGATCCTTTTAATGAAGCAGTTTTTGTGTATAGATCATGCCTCTGAAGTTTCGCTGCTCAGTTCTCTGTTTAGGAGTTAAATCACTATTGTTCCTATTTATGCAATCCTTTTTTCATGCAAGCTGTGTCAGTCACCTCCACTGGCTGTGACTGACACAGCTTGCATGAAAACAAAATTATTTATTTTTCAATTGGATGTAATTTAAAAAAAAAAAAGTTTATATCTCCTACTCTGTAATTTAAACTTTCATCACACACAAGACGTTCCTGTAGGGTTAGGCAGGCTATTGACAGAGCAGGAGATAAGACATTTTAAATTAAACATAGTATGCAGTTAAAGGAAGTGTAAACATTAGATGACTCTTTACAGGAAGTGTCTAGGAAGCCTGTATAAATCACATGCAGGAAGTGTGCCTAAGGCTGCATAAACAGTGATTTTATTCCTAAATGGCAGAGAATTGAGCCGTGAAACGACAGGGGCATGATCTATACACCAGAACTGCTTCATTAAGCTAAAGTTGTTTTGGTGACTATTGTGTCCCTTTAAGCCGGTAATGGCCCCCTTTCACTCTGTTTTCACATCTATCACTGAATGCTGTAGTAAAAGAGGTGACTTCCTCTTGACATCCACCAAACATGGTCCTCTTTGGACTGTCAGATGAAGATGTAAGAGTTATCTCCAGTGAACACTTCTATCGCATCGATGTACATATCTTCAACTCTTGGATTGCACATAATGATGTGTGTTAATGCATGGCTGGGTAAAGGCGTTACATAAAGCTTCTGATAAATCATTCCTGTGGTGACATTGCCTCCAGAGAGAGCCGGTCATCAGCTGCAACATTCAATACAGAGTTCCAGACTATTTATGTTCAGATTACTTCAGCCCTCCGCAGTCATGTCTTATAATCAAGGACACAACACTTCATAGCTAATTTATACTTTTTACACATCTGTTTTACTTTTTAATGCCCCACCTTTTCACAGAAATAATTTAGTAATTTAGAATGGTCTCATTCATGTTTTCTTCAGTACTAATTAGCATGTATTCATGTGATGCTGATCGAGTAACACTGGTTGTAAGCACTGTTGCCATAGCAGCAGGAAAACTTAAACTATTTCTACTTGGACAATCACATGGTTATAAAGTGAATTCAGAGTAGTAGTAGCCAACATAGCCATTCTGGAAGGCTAGCTGTGATCAAGAGGTTTTCCAGGTCAGTTTACTGTAGTTGTTCTGGTGTCTATAGCACTGACTCTGTGTCTCCACGCTCCCCATAGAGATACATTGATTCAATGAGGAGATGCTTATAGGTGCAGCGTGATGTTTTGCCGTGCATGTGCTAAAGCCTCCCAATTCTTTGGGAGAGGGAACTAAATGGTGTTTTACAAGAATAGTCTTGGGAATACACATCTGTATTGTAGAGTTTCTTAAATTAAAAATTATTTCTGATTGTCTCATTTTAGTGAATAACCTGGTAAATGTATTCTACTTAGGTCGAACAGGGCTTTAACTCTTCTGATTCTTAGTCTCACAACATTTGGAACCTTAATCTTCAGGCTTGACCTCACTGCAGTTTTGCCTACATATAGTGCTGTAGTGTAAACAAAATCCCTAAACAGGGTAATGATTACACTGTGAGATAAATTGCTTACTTGCATTTAGTACTACTCCGTTAAAGAGGACATTATAGTCACCAGAACTACTAGAGCTTAAAGGACCACTATAGTGCCAGGAAAACATACTCGTTTTACTGGCACTATAGTGCCCTGAGGGTGCTCACACCCTCAGGGTCCCCCTCCCGCCGGGCTGGATGGCGAGGAAAGGGGTTAAACTTACTTTTTTTTCCAGCGACGGGCGGGGAGCTCTCCGCCTCCGTTCTTCCTCTTCGGCTGAATGCGCATGTGCGGCAAGAGCTGCGCGCGCATTCAGCCTGTCTCATAGGAAAGCATTTACAATGCTTTCCTATGGACGCTTGCATCTTCTCACTGTGATTTTCACAGTGAGAAGCATGCAAGCGCCTCTAGCGGCTGTCAATGAGACAGCCACTAGAGGATTTGGAGGCTGGATTAACTCATTTATAAACATAGCAGTTTCTATAAAAAAAAAAAAGGGTTAATCCTAGTGGGACCTGGCACCCAGACCAATTCAGTGGTAAGCTTTTAATGTAGTCACTAATTGGTAATGGAAATTGGAGCTTGTACGCGTATGGTTTCCTTGTGAAACGCTGCACATACAGTGTTACATCCCTCTGCTGCTGGAGTTATAACTCTGGCACTGTCGTTGGGGTGGTATTAGCCAGACAGGAACAAGAGTTCTTGGTGGCTAATGGCAATCTTGAACATGCTGATGACCTATATCCAATTGATCAATTGTTACAAGCCTTTGGTGTCAAATCAAAGTCATCAATAGCAATACCCCCCCAATCATAAAGCAGATATCTGTGTGAATGGTTATTTTATAGCAATGCAGCACATGGCACTGTACTTATACACAGCAAATTACTTTGTTTTTGTTTAAAATATAAAATGAAATTCTGTTGAGCTCTGCAATGGGCATGCCTACTGTATGGAGTTTTATTACCATTGCATTGTGTGAAAGACAAACTGCACACTTCTGTTTTCTTGTGGTGGAGCCCTGCAGTACACTAGAATGTCAGTGCTATGGAGCTTTGCAATATGCTTATGCATTGTTTTAATATTGTAGAACCCTGAAATAGATCTCATTCTCACTCCATGTTATATTCGGCCCTCCTTTTTGTACATTCATGTACAATTTTTTTGCTCCTTGGCAAATGAATTTGACACCACCTGTATTATCTGCTCTTTTAAGCCGTCAACTCCAGTGCATGATTTAGTCTCTAGGGCTGTCAAAAGGAATAACCATCCCATTGACACGTGACAGGAACTATTACAGTGAAATGAGCAGAGAGTGTTTAGTGCATTGTATCAGCATCAGTAGATGCATAGAAACACCTCAGCTTGATGTATATTATATAAAGATTTTCTAAATCTAATGTCCGTTTTAAATCATGATTCAAACAGAACTTTTGAGTTTTTTTGTTTTTTTTTACACTTGCATTCCGTCTTATCTTTTGAATGCCAAAGCATTGTTCTTGCAACATTCATTAGATAGACCTGTACAAACCTTGCAAACTTGATTAGGAATTCCCATGACTGTGCCAGTATGTTCTTGGCAATGAAGGTTATGTATCATTGTAGGAAACCGCACTCAGAAATGTAAACTGACACAAAGGTAACACAAAGGTGGACTTAGGGTCTAAAGGTTGCCCCCTGCAATATCAGAACTACCATGAAGTTTGCTCACCTAAGTTTGGTGGCCATTCCTGTTGTAACTAGTACTCATGGACTAACATTATAGAGGGGGAAAAAAATTATTCTTTGCCCGAGGTATTGTGCAGCACGAAAGATTTCCTATTCTCATATGAGCAGTCTTAATGCTGCATAGTTACAATTTGCATTGCCCCGGAAATAGAACAGTTGAACAAACTTGTCTTATTTAGTTTCACATTTGACTACATAGAGCATACATTTGAAATTACTCTAACAGAACGCATATCTAAATATAACACTCATAGTAATAGTTTGATAGGGAATTTGTCACTCTACTCCATGTACAAACGTTATGGTTTCTAGATGAAGATTTGGAGCAAATAGTAATGTTTGACTGATTTGTATTATTGGTCCATCCATAAAGTGCCTTGATTTATACAACCGTGTGAATGCAAACACATAAACCAATACATTTATATGCAGTGGTGCAAATTGTATAAAGTGCAAAAAATGTTTTTTAACTGTACTTAAAAATACATTGCATTTAGTTGACACCGTTACATATACAAATGCCTGTTTTTTTTGTTGTTTTTTTTTTAAAGTCTTGATTAGGGACACTTGGTTAGTGGTTTTATTGCTTATAGGCAAACTTGACCACTTTTGGGATCTTGTATTTGCCAGCATTAAAGGAACATTATTTGTATTCCTAACACTATAGAGTTAAACTAACTATTTAGGTCCCCAGCCCTCCTCCGATCGCATGGGAAAGGTTTTTTACTTTTTCCCACACTGCAACAGTCTCAGCATTGGTTATTCCGCCTTCATGGATGAGATCATCAATCTTGGTGATCTCAGCCAATTCAATTCTTTTCCATAGGAAAGTACTGCAAGGCTATTGCACATGCACGTCAAAACGCAGTGCTAGGCCAATCAGCATCTCCTGATGCATTGTATTGGCTGAGTTTGCCAAATAGGCGCGTTGGGGGCAGGGCGGGGCCAAACACCGGCCAGGTTAATCAGCTTCTCCTCATAGAGATGCATTGAATCAATGCATCTTTATGCAGAGCGTGGAGACGCTGAACGGCAGTGCTGCACTGCCTTAGGAAGCACCTCCAGTGGCCACTAGAGGTGTCCCTAGATTTTAATATAAACAGTGCCTTTTCTGTGGGAAAAATAAATCTGCGTTTATTGCAAAAAGCCTGCAGGGACAATGGGCTGTAGTTATTCTGGTGAGTTTTTTTTGTCCGCTTAATGTGTTGAAATCCTGCTATATATTATCATTATCCTCCCCCCCCAAAATTTGGTTTTGAGTGTGCCTAATACATATATGAATTTCCAGTGCACTTTAAATACCGCTAAAAATAAACAGCTACAAATTATTTTTGTACTCTTTATGTAACTTCTTGATTGGTTTCTAGGCAAATAACATGCTTTTTTATGGTATAGTCTGTGCTAAATATGTTTTTGCTTGAACCTAGTTTGTAAACTACTTGGTCTGACTTCCTGTAAACATAGAAAAATATGCATGAATCTAGCAAGAATCTTCATGATTCAAAACCTTAACACTGTGAAAACAAGGAGGCAAAAATGTGATTCTTTATTGAACTAATTTTCATATGCCCGCCCAGAATCCTTTGCGGTAGAAACATCACTGCAAATTTTTGATTTCTGTGGGAAAAGCAAGTCTTATGGCTTGACTGTTGTGTAGATTTTTGTTTAACATTGTATTGACTATCCACAGACTTCAGATGGAAGGGGTTTTCAATCACAATTTTTTCCCCCACCATAACCTTTTTGGGTTTTGCTTTGCAAGCACTGCCAAACCTCAATAGCAAGCCAGTAACCAACCTCATGCTGAGGATTTGCATTAACAATGAAAAAGCTGTCCATGAGTGGTTCACTTGCTTTGCATCTTTTCCTCAGTTGTTTCAAAGCTGTTGTATACAGCAAACACAGACTTAAATTAATCCATGTTTAAAATGGAATGAGGCAAAAATGTGAATCTTTGTTGAACTAATTTGCATATGCACACCCCGAATCCTTTGCGGTAGTATCACTGCAAATTTGTGATTTCTCTGGGAAAAGCAAGTCTTATATCTTGACTGGTGTGCAGATTTTTGTTTAACATTGTATTGACTATCCATAGAAATATTTCAGATTTACTTTACTTTTTCAGCTTGGATAGCACATTGTACTGAGGAATAAAATCATTGCATTAACCTTGTCTCTGAAGGTTATTTAAAGCCTGTAGCAAAAATCTTTACTGTGCCTCTTGTGTCACTATCCCGTGCTTCATGGAAGTGCATTTTTTAATAATTTGTTTTCTATGTGCATTTAGAGTATGTGAGTATGTATAATCTATATTGTATGCATGGTGCTGTTTGATTTTCTTAATGTGTTATAATAGAAAAATAAATAATTCCCCAAAGTAAGCCTACAAAAGGGATTGTTCCCAGTCACACGCACTACAACTGGACAAACAGTACTATATGTGCATAGAAATAGAAGTGCATTTCAACCTAACGCTTTTTATAAACATCCACAGTAAAGTCGCGATCATACAATTAAGCTTGACTGAGGAATAATGGGGGGTTAATGCTTATTCAGAGCCTAGTGTTATAGATTTCAATGTGTTTTACATAGCACACCAAGCCAAATATGCACCAACCTCATTATAATTCATTATGAGACAAATACACTACAATACTCTCAAAACCTTACTCATTTGCAGGGACCAGGAATTGCTCCATGCACATAACCCTAGTCCAGGACGCAATAAATCCCACTGGCAAACACCCAGGTGTTTGTCAGTTCGTTCACCCAAGGTGGCCTGGAGGCATGTGTAACCTTAGTGCTTTCTTTGCTCTGCTCCCTCGCGCATGCTGCTGGGAGCCGGGGTATGATGTTATGCCAGCACCGGCATCACAAACACACACATTCTCTCACAAATTATCACTTTAAAAAATTAAATTTTTTATTTTATTTAAGTCCACCCAGATAGGTAGTTGATTAATAGTGGGTTGTTTCATTTGAATTGCTTGCAGCTTCTATTAGATTACCAAGGAAATGTGTTCCTTCTGGAAGCTCACATATGAGCATGATTTATTTTCCTTTTCTCAAGTTTGGTTTTGCACTGCACCGCACTTATAAACAGACACAGAAAACAACACAAGGTGCTGTACATTTTATACCTCAATTTTCTTTATGCAGTCTGCCTTTTATCACAGATGTCGAGTTGGTTATAATTTAGTTTCCACTGCATTTTTGTGCGAAGTTACCTGTTTGAAGGGACAATGATCACTCGTGCCATACGTGCTGCGAGCTAATTGTGAAGTTTATGGACACCGTTTCTTCAATTTTGTTGCAGTGGTAAATTGCCAGCCTTCAAAGCAATTTAAAAAGTGAGGGTCAATTCGAGAAGCTCGGATGTCATGGGATGTTGAATTTTGAAATAAAAATACTATCCTCTAATGTCCTTTTAAATTTATATGCATTTTTAGATTCTCAGCTGACCCAATTTAGGAAGATATATTAAGCACCTCCCTAGAGTGATCAAGGAGACAGCAACTTCCTTGGCATGGCAATGTGTTGTGCAACTCTGGTGCTAGGGTTTTTAAAGGGCTATTTCACTCTTGTAGTGTCTCCTATTTTGTAAAGCATGTTATAGATAATTATGGTGTATGCAAAAGCTCAATTAAAATGAAAAAAAGATACTCACAAGTCCCTGCTGTTTGTGCAAATCCTTAGACATTAAATTATAAGGCTTCAGGTCTATACAGACACAGTAGCTAGGCCAGTGAAATCTAAACTGTTTAACATGTATAATCCAGTTCTTCGAGAATTACAGTGCAGTGAAGGCCTGGCTGTCAATCAGGTAGCCGGCCCTTTTAGATCTTCTTTCCATAGCACAGTAGAATTAGAATCAAAAGGCAGCAATTGCTCAGAGCACCTGCATTGCAAAGATTTCTCATTGAGCTGCATTGGAAAGTCTGCGATTGCACAGCCACAGAAAGTCTCGGAGGTGTTAAAAGAGGAGGGCTTGAAAAGGCTTTGGACAAGATACACTATATAGACAAAAGTATTGGGACTAAAAATGGGGTAAATTCTAATACAAAAATGTACAGAAAAAGAAAGGAGGGAAAAATACCTTTATGTATAAAGCTCTAAAACTGGAAAAGTATAGGAATCCACCAAAAACCTATAAAAACAGTGTATATAAATTGTGTTGCACTAAAACAGTAGTAGCAAAAATCCAGGAGCTAACAAGAAGAAGAAGAAAAAAAAAGTGAAGAAATAAGTCTGTTAGAGAAATTACTTAATCTTAAATGACACACTAAATGTGCAATATCAAATATAATAAAAATGATATATAAAAAATAAATATGAATAAAAACAATATCTGTGTGGCAAGGATATCCTTAACCCAGGAAACAGGATTATCCCAGGGTAAATATAACCTTATGCCAGATAATATACTTCCATTGGATATATAAAGTGAAAGATAGGATGGCCAAATGGTATAAAATCCTTAAAATACATAAATCATACTGACTGCCAACCTGCAAGTCAATTAGAAATAATATAGTCAAGCGGAAACCAGTACCAGGAACTGGTCGCTATAAGTAATATAAAAAATATATTGCCAAAAAACAACTGGGAGTAGAAAAGTCAAATTTATTTCAGAATTATAAAATAGTTAAAAATAAGTCCACAATAAAAGCACCAGATCGTTAGAGGTAAAAATTGCACAAGAACTTATTCACAGGCACTGATGGATATGGATGTTGTTCACAATTCAGTATCCGAATTCTGATCGCCGGTGAGGACGGCTTGCGTACCACCTCGAGCCTCACTTCGGGGGAACTGCGCTGCTCGTCGGATGATGTTAATGGAGTGCCTGGGATCTGAGATGATAACCGGGCTCTTATGCTGATACCTTGGCTTTCTGTCACTATGTGGACGTTCTGTGAACTGTCTGACGCGTTTCGTATTGAATAGCCCTACTTCCTCAGAGACTTATCACTTATCCTGATGAAAGTCCACAAGATGGACTGATACGTTGATCTGTTTTAATGGTATCTAGAATAAAAGTTAATTTTTATTGAAAATCTGTGAGTGCAGCCACACTACCTGATTATATGGATACTCAAGCCCTGGTAATGCACCCGGTTTGGCAAGTTTGAAGCCTGTGTGCAAGGTACAGTTTAATATAAATATATATATATATATATATATATATATATATATATATATATATATATAATTTTCATTCTCTACGGTCTGTTTTTCTATAGTAAAAATAACTTTAGTTATTTTAGTCTAGTAATGTGGTGACTACAATTCTCACTTCTGAGGACTAAGCCTGTATAAATGGTGCAATAATGATAAAAACATTGTTTTACAACAGGAAATTTTCAATGTTACTGCTTTATTCAATTTTCCTGCTCCATTGATTGTGCAAATATAAAAAAAAGCAACAAATAAAAAGCTTTACTTTTATTTGTAAAGAACAGATGTTTATATGTTTTGTACTTTGGATCATTTTTTTCAGTCGTATAAACAGTGCAGGCTTTTTCAACATACTATCACAAGCGTATTATCATAATGTGTTTTTGTAATTATCTGGGGTAATTGACCACAGGTTACTAACTTTGATTTTCTTTTTTTCTTCTTTCCGTGAACCATTGCCTGCGTACTTGAATTGTGGTCTGCATCATTATGGACATCATATCGTGACATGTTTCTCACTCTATGTAAATGCTGAAATCGCATTGCTTACAAAGTAGCTGTAAGTATTCCTTCTAATTCTTTATATACATTCTTTTAATAGCTAGTATATTGGCATACGTAAAAGAACACTGCCATGAAAAAAAGTTAGACATTTTATATTTTGTGATACCGTATAGTATCAGTATAAACAGTATGCTAAAATATATATTTAAATACACACACATTAAAAATAAATAAGTGTGTATATATATAGATATATATTTAAATGTATTTTTTAATTTGTTTATAAAATCACTTGCCTACCGTTCTCCCTCCTCCATTTCGGACAGTCATTACTTAAACCTTCTGTTGGAGTGCCAGTTATTTAACCCAGTGCTCACTATTTTACAACTGTCTGTTGTTTTGAAATCTCCTTGTGTAAAGAGCATACAATTTCCAAAAATGTCAACATGTGTGAATTAAAAATGAAATGAGTTGGTGTTTTTAACAGATTATATTATTATGTTTTGATGAGTGTTCTTTTAAGACTTTCTTGTTTAGCAATGTGATTGGGTAAACTAATTTTAAAATGTTATATATTTTGAAAGGAGTGTTCCTTTTTTAGTTTAGATTTCGTTGTTTTGTTAAAAATAAATCCCTAGGTCGCTTCAGCTTCTCCTACTCCATTGAAGATATCAGTTCTGATTTACTTTTGTCCAGTGCTTCTGAAAATCATTGGGGACATGGGACGCATGCACTTCAATCATGACACTGCCAAGCCAGTGTTTGTCATAGACCACTTCTTCTGTATGAGAAGCATTAGTCTTATTCATTGTGTTCATACTGTGATCGAAAACCAACTGTCTTAAAGAAGCACTGTCATGCCGAACTTACCTTTCCACAATCGATTCCTTTACTCTCCCTCTGTCAGGATCTGTTCATTTCTTCGTGTCTGCTCTAGTATTCTTTAAAATCATAAGACAAAGTAGGGACTATTTGTTTTATGGAGGTTTCCTATGCCTGACCAGCGATGACCCCCGGAGGAGCAAAGTGTGCTACATTTCCGGTGGTCAGAGCAACTTTTCCCACAATTCTCACCTTTTCATCCGTGTCACTTAGACAGAACGCCGGCGAAACTACCGAATTGTGTCCTAACTGAATAAGAACAGTTTCTCCATTCGTGCTGGGATGCAATTCGGGACTTCGAATGAATGGCCTTTTTTGGGGCTGAAAAATTATTTATTTGTTATAGGTATTTAGTTCTCTTGTTCCCCCTCACTATTTTAGGTTGAGGGGAGTAGGTAGGGGATTATTCATTTTTTTTGGGGGGGCGGGGGGGAGTGACCTAGGGGCTTGGAGACCCCTAGTCACTTGGGGGGGTGTTAACGTTTTCATTACGGGCCCCCACCTACTGCTCAGGGGCCCCCCCTTATTGTAATTTAGGACCCCCACCCGCCACTCGGGTGGGGGCCGGGGGGATGGGGAGGACAATAGGTCCTCCTTAAATACGGGAGGGGGGATACTAGGATTTTTTTTTTTAAGTGTTTAATAGACATGCCCCTTCTCACGGTATAGCGAGTAGGGGAAGAATTTACTAATACGAAGTAATCTTTGCTTAGTATTAGTAAATTTAGCTGAAAGACCGATTTAGGTCTTTCATACTTTTGGTAGATAGCTCCCTAATACCGTGGGAACTAGGGAGTTATCTGCTAAGCGGCTGCAAGATGCAGCTGCGCTCAGATCTGAATTTTTTTATTCGAATGAAATTCCGATCTGAACACAATGCCGAATTGCATCCGAACACGAATGGAGAAACTTCCGTTAGGACGGGAAATGTGAAAGGAGGCTTCGCGGGAACACGGAGGAAAGGTAAGAATTGTTGGAAAATAGTTCTGACCACCAGAAATGAAGCACACTTTGCTCCTCTGTTGGTCAGGCGTAGGAAACCTCCAAAAGACAAATAGTACCTACTTTTGTCTTATGATTTTAAAGAAAACTAGAGCAGACAGGAAGAAATGAAGAACAGATCCCGACAGAGGGAGAGAAGAGGAATTGTTTGGGGAAAGGCAAGTTCGGCATGACTGTGCTGCTTTAAGGTCTCTCTGACTGTAATGCATTTTTACCAGAATGTAAACATTGATGTTTCTCAACAGCGTTTTGCATTGAATAGAAACGTTCTGCATGTTGATCCAAATGCATTTTTGTTAGTTTCTACTGATATACAATATAACTTGGCAAATACGGTACTTGTTATTGCAGGTACAATATCAAAAATGCAAATATACATACATTAAGGGCAGGAAAAACAAACAAAAAAACAGGTGGACACGTTTATCACAACTCTGACAAAAAAGGAACACCATCTATGCACCTAGTGTCAAGTTTTTGTTAGGATGTAGTTCCTTTTTAGTTTCAAACTTTATTCTTTTTAAGGCTTCTAGACAAAGCCATAATATGTTAAACCAGTGAAGAAATGATGGCAGATTTTAATGGCCATTTGTATAATGCTACTCCAATTTTTATTTTTAAATCTTGCTTTGCCAAAATATAAGGCTATCAGTGCCTAAATGGTTAATCATTTGTCATTTCAGTTGCACATGGTAGCATTTTTGCAGACCTTTTGTGGCCTAAAACAGGTTAAAACTTCGGAATATTTATTCAGTTTGTGAAGGAAATTCTGGACAGCAGATATTTAAAGCACTACCACTTATAAGCATTAAATGATTACAGCCTACTGAAGGGACAGGTATAAAGAGCTTATCCTTATTGAGCCTGTGTGGTTTTCAACTAAACAATGAGTTGTGGAGAAGCAATTGGCCAGAAGTAGGGATTAGTGGCCGTTAAATTCTTTCTTAACGATAAGAAGATATGCTAATAGTTTATCCTATTTATTAACTGTAGCAACAGAAGAACCTTGAAGGATATGTGGGGTTTGCCAATCTCCCAAACCAAGTGTACAGGAAATCCGTGAAGAGGGGATTTGAATTCACACTTATGGTAGTAGGTGAGCAGTTCAACATTTTTCATTATACAAATTGTATGGAATGGATTTGTTTGTTGGTAACATTGTTTACTTGAATCCCACTTGAATCCCGTTTAGTTTAACAAAGTTTGCGATCATAGTATTATATTTATCTCTGTACTGCCATCCTATTGGCATATTTCAAAGCAGTGCATAGCAGAAGAAGACACCTTGAATATATGTGTATGTCGTCATGGGAAAATTGATGTACGCCCAAGTTAGCTTGCTTCAACAAAGGACAATGTCTGTAAAGCTTGAGTTTTGTTTGTCTCTACTGCACACCATACTGAACTGCATGCTTTAATAGTGTTTACAGAACTGAGGGAAAAGTGAGCTTTCAGCAGCTTGAAACTCTGGTTTCCTCTTAAACTCTGGCAAATCTCTTGATATTAAGACATACTCTTGCCTTGGTGGAAAAAATAAAAAGAGCATAATCTTATACCTTAATTCACATACCCTCTATTCACAAATCAGCTTTGTAATTCAGTGTGTAATCAGGAGCTGACCACCTGACATCACTCAACACTATAGCCAATCACTGTCCTTATAGGTACGCTTTCCCATTAGCAAAGCTTTGAAATACTGTATGGATAAAGAGGACAGTGATTGGCTGTTGGGGAGGAATTACTTCAGGAAATCAGGTTACACGCATCTCTCAGTGGCCGAATACATCTGACACACACTCACACAGCGAACTTATTATTTTTTTTTAATTCCCCGATTTATAAGAAAAAGTAGGGTCAACTTTACTGTATTTAGAACTTGAAGGTCGACAAAGGGTGAAGGTTTTGTCTAGGGGGTCCCATATAAAGGCTGAGGGATGGGGAGCAGATACATTTATGTTAGAGTTTTAAGAATTTAATGAGTTGCATCAGGAAGGGTGATTTGAGAGAGTATACATGCACACTCAAAGCATTTGTACAACAGCAGGAATTTAATGTATTAGATGCACATGACATGTCAGTGGCTTGGGAACCTGTAAAACTGGTTTTGAGTGCTGTCTAGAATTGGGTGGAGCTAGAAGAGATGCTGTAATAAGTTTTTTTTTATCCAGAAAGTTATGGCCAAATTTAAACGAGTTTGGGGTTCTGCCATCCAGAAACACTGACTATCTTATTTCATCTCTGCGGCAGTGGATTGGGTTAAATACACAGACTACAGTTCTAATAGCTTGAATAGTCAGCCTACATCATTGTTTAATTACATCATATACCAGGTTGTTCTGGCACAGTCTGTGCATACAATGAATTTACCTGTATGTGCACATATAACACTAAAGTAGTGCACAGATGTACAATGCTCCACCATACTCAGAGCTGTGACAGACCTTCATTAAACACTTATTTCAACCATTAAAATAAAAAGGCAGTCTGTAAGCAGTAAAGCTTACATATCTATGCATCTTTTTCATTTTACACAGGTTACTTCCTCTTAACTGATCAGTCAGGCATGTGCTTGGGCAGAATTAGCTCACTATGGTCTAAAGCAGATATTGGTAGCCTGTGAGGTAACTGTCAAGCAGCTCTGTGAGACAACAATTTTTATATGAAGTTGGTACAGAAATCTTGCTCCAACCCTTTTAAAAACAATTTTTAATTTGGTTAACAATGCCCTGTGGGACATTGCTATTAGGTACCCCCTCCACCTTAAGTCCCGTAAAAATGTTTTAGACTTACTTGATATTCAGCACTAGGCAAAGCGTCCTGCATTGTCTTCCACTCCCCATCCTGACGTCCTCTATGCGCTAGTGCACCAATCACAGGCTTCTGTTATTGCACTATTTCACCGACTTGTGTCGAAGGTATGGTGGGAAAGAAGTTTTAAGTTCTATATGGAGCACACACAAGGGTAGAAGAAAGAGGTCTTCACTTTAAAGGCACTCTGCCTGCAAGAGTAAAGATTAAGTTTGTTGCCAGCGTGCAGTGCATGCTGAAGACTGACTTAAAATATGCACAGAATTGACATTACAAAGCCCAGAACAAGCCCCCTGGCATACAGCTGCAAATCACTGAACTAGACCTCCATCATTTCAGAGTGAGACAATGGGCATCATTGAATAACTGTAGATGAAGTATGAAGGCTCTCTGCAAGGAATAAAAATCATGCAATGTGTTGCTCACCCCTATTTACATTCTTTGTTTCTAAAAACGCTCCGAGGCTGGAGTTGACCTCCTTTTTGGGGGTCAATGTGTATTTTCTACTTGCATTTCATAAATGCACAGATCGGTGTTGTAAATGTATTCTCGTTTCCAGTAAGTATTTACTCATGCAGCGGCTGAGACTTCTGAGGCAATCCTGGCCCTATCTTTGTTGTCAGACACATGTCCCATAATCTGCTCTTTAGGAAGGATTTTGGGGCTTTCTATTGCAGCAGGCACAACTCTCCCTAACCATATCATGTCCTCATACAGGGAGGTGAAGTTTGGGAAGGGACCTGAAGCTCTTACTTTCCCTTTCATTGATGAAAAGTCCATGTGTTTTTCCACAAAAAGTTTATATTTAAGAGAAACTCAGAAACGACTGCACCTCACAAATTCAAGAGACCTCTTAAACTACTCTGCAACTAATAGAATCAGGAATTATATTGTAAATCAAGTCATGGGTTTCTTTATTACCATGAATGTGATGGTTTAAAACCACCATTTACCAGCTGTGGTACTGTGTAGATGATTGTGGAATGTAAGTTTTGTTTTTTGGTTTTTGACCCACAAAAAATATATAGTTTTGCAAAAAAAATTGCAGTACTTTCCAGAAACAAGCTTTAAGTTTAATTTTTCATTCTTGCTGAAACAATTGTAAGATTAGATTTCTAACTCACAATAAAAATTAAGACCGTAACAGATTCCACTTATATTTTTTATTTTACATATTACAAGTAAAACTACTTTACTAAACTATTCTGCTTCATTCTTCCTCGTAGACCTTTTTAAGTGCAGAACTGTTTCCCACCTGAGGTATTAAATAAAAAACACTTTTTTGTAAAGACTATAAATGGATGCAAAGAGGTACCTGTATTTATTTCACTTGATTTGCCAGTAAATGATTGGCTAACATTTTCAAATTGCTTGCATCATCTTTTAGGGTGAAAATGATACCAAATGTCCTTAATAACAGTTTTTACATTAAACACTAATATAAGCACTGACACCACTTCATCTCATTGAAGTGGTCTGGGTGCAGTGTCACTGACCCACTAACCCTGCAATCTAAAACTTTGTGGTTTCAGAGAAACTGCAATGTTTATATTGCAGGATTAAAGGGAAAGTATAGTGCCAGGAAAAGTTAATTTTCTGGCACTATTGCTCCCTCTAGTGTCCCCCTATCTGGTGGCCCCCCACCCGCAGTACAGAAGAGGTTAAAAACCCCTTCTGTGACTTACCTGAGTCCAGCGCCGGTGTCCCTTGGCACTGGCTTGGGTTCCGCCTCGTCTCCATTGCTGTGCTTGCACTAGGGCATCCCCCATAGGATAGCATGTATAATGGGGTTTTATGTGACACTTTACGTCCCCATGCATAGAGTGTGGATGTTCAGCGTCAGGCAACCAAAAGTCTCCTTACGACCTGTGGTAGACAACCACTAGAGGTGGAGTTAACCCTAGCAGGTAATTATTGCAGTTTCCTAAAAACTGCAACAATTACCTTTGCATGGTTAAGTGACCTGGAACACTGCACCCAGACCACTTCAATGAGCTGAAGTGGTCTGGGTGCTTACAGTGTCATTTAAAGGACCACTCTAGGCACCCAGACCACTTCAGCTTAATGAAGTGGTCTGGGTGCCAGGTCCAGCTAGGGTTAACCCATTTTTAAATAAACATAGCAGTTTCAGAGAAACTGCTGTTTATTAATGGGTTAAGCCTTCCCCCTAATCCTCTAGTGGCTGTCTCATTGACAGCCACTAGAGGCGCTTGCGTGATTTTCACAGTGAGCGCACACCAGCGTCCATAGGAAAGCATTATAAATGCATTATAAATGCTTTCCTATGCGACCGGCTGAATGCGCGCGCAGCTCTTGCCGCGCGTGCGCATTCAGCCGACGGGACGGGACGGGGCGGAACGGAGGAGGAGAGAAGGAGGAGAGCTCTCCGCCCAGCACTGGAAAAAGGTAAGTTTAAACCCCTTTCCCCTTTACAGAGCCTGGCGGGAGGGGGACCCTGAGGGTGGGGGCGAGTATGTTTTCCTGGCACTATAGTGGTCCTTTAAGACTTAATGAGCAGCTAAGTCCCCAAAGCCAGTTGGAGGTAATAAAAGGGAATGCGTCCATCAGGTCGCTTATCAGGACATGAATGTGCTCGAGTAGAAAATCATAACTGAACTCAAAATAGAGATAATGTAAAACAAAATCAAATGATGAGGTATGTCTTCACTATACAGTTGTGGTGAATCTGCAAGTTGCAAAGCCAGCCAAGTCAGAATCCCATAAGCTCTTTTCCAGCACATGTATGTTTAGTTATATTTTGCAGTTCATTGTTTAGTGATTAAACCCCTTAATCTGACAACCAGGCACTATAAAGACTCACATCCTCCTGCTCCATGTTCCAGTGACAAGAAAGTGGCTCATGTGACAGGGACCGTATCTGGTGGTAATAGCCCTGTGAACAATGGTTATATTGAAAAGGGAAAAAAACAAAACTCTGAAGGATGCAACAGTGATCATTACTGGAGCAAAGCATGACTTCCTGAGTTACTTGGTTTAGTAACCTTGAATTGCAGACCGCAAAGACCTATGATTTTACAAACCAAAACTTATAATGGGTATTTAGCTTTTGTCCTATAAAGATCCATTGACTCACTAAAACCAGCCATAACAGTGTGGTGTGGCTCTATTTTGAAGGTCTGATGGGGAATAACTTGCATTGCTTTTTGATTTTTTTTTCTCCAACTGCGGGATGAATTGTGTTCAAACATGTAATTAGCCAATATTCTTCTCACTTCCACTGTGCTTTACAGTGGGTTTGTCATCTACCATGAATAGTGGTGTTCACCATGGTACAGGCTGACTTAATGACAGGTGAATGCACTAATGTGTATTACCCTTTATTCCACATGCAATAGATATAAGAAAGGAATTTGGTATAGAATATATATTCTAGGGATCGACTGATATTGATTTTTTTAGAGCCGATACCGATAATCTGTTAACTGTCAGGCCGATAGCCGATAACTTGCCGATATTCTGTACATTTACCATTTTGAAAAAATAAACTATTTCTAAAAGGTAAATGCACACAATATAAAAGCTGGATGCAGTGTGTTTAGACAGTGGAGCTGTGTATATTTGTGTAGTGTATATATAATGAATGCAGGGTGTGTTTGTGTAGTGTTGTATAGTTAATGCAGTGACTGTGTAGTGTGTATATAATGAATGCAGAGTGTGTGTTTGTGTAGTGTGTGGTGTATAAAGGGAATGTCTGTGTGTGTGTGTAAAGTGAATGCAGTGTTTAGTGCGTATAGTGAATGCAGTGTGTTTGTATAGTGTGTATATAATGAATACAGTGTGTGTGTGTGTATATGATGCAGTGTTTGTCGTGTCTGTGTATATAATGCAGTGTGTGTGTGTTTTTCTGAAGGGATGTGATTTGTGTAAAATTTATTTTAATTTTTAATGTTTGTTTATTTTAATATTTATGTTTATTTTTTTATGCTTATTTTTAATAGTTATGTTTTATTATTTTTGTTGTCCCCCCTCCCTGCTTGTTACCTGGTGAGGGAGGGAGGATATGACACTCCCTGGTGGTCCAGTGGCATTGGCTGAGCTGGGGGGGGGGGGCGCAGGTAGCGTTTACTTACCTCCCCTGCAGCTCCTCCAGCTCCCAGTGTAAGTCTCGTGGCCCATAGTGCCTGACGGCCGCGGGTCTCGCAAGACTTACACTGGGAGCTGGAGGAGCTGCAGGGGAGGTAAGTAAACGCTACCTGCGGCCCCCCCCTAGGACCGCCGGGCTTGTAATGAGCCTGGCGGTCCTAGGAGGTATTATCGGCAATATCGGTATCTATATTGGCCGATACCGATATTGCCGAAAATACCGAATATCGGCCGATTATATCTGTAAAACCGATAATCGGTCGATCCCTAATATATACACACACACCTTAAGTGGAGCGCTATAGATGTTGAGGAATTACTTCACATGGTCTTGATTGGGTCGTATATGTCACATATAGATATAGAAGATAAAAATATACAACACAGTGCAGATTGTAAAACGTTTGTGCAATATCAAATGAGGTAGATAAATGGATCACTCACATTTTCCAGAGCCTGTATTTTGGCTCTGTAAATTGGAAATTAACTAACACTGCTATATCACATCTATCAAGCTTGGCAACAAGTTTTTATTAATCACTATTGGCATCACTGGCATCATGGCTGATGGATTTTGTCATCCCAGGGTACGTATGCTCAAGGGCAACAGACTGCACATACACGGAGTGCTGCTGAAACACTTACATATGTGCCAGATTTCCCTGTAATTCTCTATATGCGCAGTGTGCGTTTGAACATGTGTTCATGCTGCACATTTCCCAAGACCTCCTGACCAAGTACTCCTGTCGAGCTTGCACATAATGCACAAACAACTTAGAGGAAGCCAGTGCTGTCCATGTCAGACAAGGCAGGTTGACAGCTTCAGTTATTTTTGCAAACATCTGCAGTTACAAGCGTCTGTACAGGGGGACAAGGATCAGTTAACTCTCTGCTCCATAAAATAGGCAATTAGTTAAGGTGCTTGCAGTGTTGTCTGTTCCAAATCATATAGCACTTCAAAGCTGAATATCATAGCCATGTTAAATCTGCAGAAGTTTGATGGGTACAAGATCACAAAGATAAAATAAACTTTCTCCGTCTGACCTGCACATTAAAATGCCAAAAGCTGCTCAGCAAAATCAGCGTGTGACTGGCTGTTAACATAATATGGTTTTTGCATGCTTTTTCATTGTCGTCAAATATTTGTTAAAGGAATACTATAGTGCTAGGAAAACAAAGCCTACAGTGCACCCCTCCCTCAGACGCTAAAAGGGTTTAAAACCTCTTCCGTCACTTACCTGAATCCAGCTCCAATGTCCCTTGGTGCTGGGTCAGGCTCTGCCCATGCTCCTTCCATGCCAACTTCAGGCGGTGGGGGAGACCTAATGTTTAAGAACAGCAAGTGCCGCGCTCTCATTAGGATTACTATAGGAAAGCATTGTTTCAGTGCTTTCCTATGGAGATATGATTGACGCTGGATTCCTCCTGCACAGCGGGAGGACGTCCAGCGTCATTTAGGCGACACTTGGTCGCCTAAATATACGGAAGTCCCTCAAGTGGATGTCTGGTAGACAGCCATTAAAGGTGGAGTTAACCCTGAGAAGTGATTTAATACTTACCACTGTAGGGTTAAGGGACATGGGACATTGCACCCAGACCACTTTAATGAGCTAAAGTGGTCTGGGTGCATATAGTGTGCCTTTAAATCTTGTGATGCAAAGCTACAATTGTAAAACACTTCATGTGGTTAAAAGGTGTGTGTGTGTGTGTGTGTTTCTCTTTTGTGAACAGATTAACAATGAAATCACCATTTAGCAGTTTGATGTATGTGGTATTTATTAACTGGGTGTGCTCGTGTAAAGTATGAATCCATATGTACTGGTTGTGTACTTATATAATAAACTAAATTCCATTAAGTTTTTATTAGGTTCCATTAAACTGAATCCCATTAACCCCTCAACGCCGTTACGGCGTACTATGCCGTCCCACTTTAATTTGGCATTAAAGCCGTTGCGGCGGCATAGAACGCCGTAACGGCTTTGAGCACTGGAGCGCCCGGTATACTCACCTTACCGGCGCTCCCCTGCGGGAGGACTGCCTGACAGCCCAGGCAGCCCTCCCCAGGCAAATGAAGCCCCCGGGGGCCATGTGATTGCTCTCAAAGAGCGATTTACATGGCCCCCTATAGATGGCTGTGGATCTGCCAGCAGGGGGACTATCTGAAATATCAGACAGTCCCCCTGCTGGTAGGAAATGAAAAAAAAAAAATTAGATATGTTTAAGTATACATGTAGAATTTAAGTACCTATAAATGCATATATATTAAAATTCTACATGTATATTTAATCTTTTAACATAATTTGATTTGATTGACATGCCTGACAACACAGGGAGAAAGTGCAGAGAATTTAATTCGCAAGCACTATATTTGACCCTGTAACTCTCCAAGACACCACAAAACCTGTACATAGGGGGTACTGTTTTACTCAGGAGACTTCGCTGAACTCAAATATTAGTGTTTCAAACTGGTAAATTGTATTACAACGATGATATTTTAAGTAAAAGTGAAATATTTTGCATTTTTATTTACAAACGCCACTTTTATGGACTATATTATTGTTGTAATATGTTTTACTGTTTTAAAACACTAATATTTGTGTTTAGTGAAGTCTCCCGAGAATAACAGTACCCCCATGTACAGGTTTTATGGTGTTTTGGAAAGTTAGAGAGTCACATATAAGGCTTGCATTTCATTTTTTTGACATTGAAATTTGCCAGATTGGTTATGTTGCCTTTGAGAGCGTATGGTAGCCCAGGAATGAGAATTACCCTCATGATGGCATTCCATTTGCAAAAGTAGACCACCCAAGGTATTGCAAGTGGGGTATGTCCAGTCTTTCTTAGTAGCCACTTAGTTCTCGGGAACACGAAAAAAAGAGAAAAAAGCAAACTATATTGTATTTTCTGTATTTTATTTTGACATGTACCCCATATTTTACCATTGAATGAGACTACGTTTTGGTAAGATTTATCTGTGTTTGAGCGCTCCACTTATAGGTGTAGGTCCTTGTCACTTACACCGTACCAATATCTACTAAATTTATTCAGTGGAATAGAGGATATTTCCACACTAGTGTATTGAGCTGCCTGTAAATCACTTTTTGACTCTTTTGAGAACTTTTGTTATACACACTCCTCTGTAAAAATAGGCAACCTTTGATTGGTATTCAAGGATCCATGATAGTCTGCTAGAGTTCATTCAGACAGAGAGAAACAAGCATTGTTTTTGCCATGTTAAGCTTACAGAATATACCATATTTTGAAAGAGAACCTTACTAATTTCATATTACTGACATCTCAGAACAAGTCCTTTTGTGTCTTTGTTAGTGAATGGGGCAAAAAGGACGATACCTTTCTGAATGCCATCAGTATAGCTGCAGTATGTTGCCTTTCCTTCCAGTTTTTGTGACTATTGAGATTCCATTAGTATGTGAGCTCGCTTTAAATGCTTATCTGTTCACGGACTGCAAGGTTTGACCTGAAAAGTCTGATCAATTTTAAATTTCACCCTTCTCGCTTGTTTTTAAACGTAGCCTTAGTGTTCCTTTCCCCTTGTCATATATTTGCATTTTCTGTTACAGTACATTCTTTGTTCCACAATTGCAGCTGCTGTGTGTGTTCGGGGCTGGACTTTACACCAGTGTGCTTGTCTGGGAATTAAAGTATAGGATTTTTTATTTTATTTTTTTTGTGTGGATTTAACTTTTTAGCGCCCACGCCTTATCTCAAATAGGTATATCCCATGTTATCATTAAGTGTCTATCCTGCAGCAATTCCCACAGGCTTTGCTTTACCTTCAATGGCATTCTCTTCAACCAGAAATTGCATAAGATTGAAACCTGCTCTTGGTTTTCTGTTGAAAGCAATGGGAGAAGTTCTGCATATGTTCATGTGGCTTGTAGCCCCCATTGGAATGAATACAGAATGCTTGTGCACGCGAGCCACAGTCATTCTTGTAGGGAAATCCCAGACAGAGTGAGCATATTTTTATTTATAAAATATTTTATCAGGAAAGATGCATTGAGATTTCTCTCGTTTTCAAGTATGTCCTAGGGTACAATAAAATACAAAACCAATATTAATACACAATATATACAAAATTTAACATAGTATGTAGAGAGAGATCTCTTAAAGGATTTTAGGCTTGGTGAAGATTTGAAAGTGTGCGGAAGGTCGTTCCATAATTGCGGTGCTCTGTAGGAAAAGGATGATCGGGCCGCTTTCTCTTTTGTACTGAGGTAGACTAAATAAAGTGCTGGTACTGGATCGGATGTTATAGGAGGTGGGAACAGCCGAGGAGAGCATTCTGCTCGGGTAGGGTGAGAGTTTCCCAGAAAAGCTCTTAAACACAAGGCTGGAAAGATGAAGGGTGCGTCTGGATTCCAGCAACAGCCAGTTCAGTTATTTTAGCATGTCACAATGGTGGGTCCTGTAATTACATTGTAGCACAAATCGGCAGAACGAGTTATACAATGTATTGAGTTTATTAATGTGGGATTGCGGTGCAGGTGCATATACTACATCCCCATAATCAATGATTGGCATCAGCATTTGCTCCACATTCTTTTCCTTTACTGTAGGGCTTAGGCAGGATTTGTTTGTGTACAGGGCACCTAGTTTTGGATAAAGTTTAGATGCAAGTTTTTCTATGTGGAGGCCAAAAGATAGATAAGGGTCTAACAACATACCCAAGTATTTGAAAGAGTGGACTGCGGTCAGTGTGCTATTTAAATTAGTTTTGATGGATAGATAGGAATTGTGTAGTTTGTGTAATTTAGTTACTGTTCCAAAGATCATTGTGACAGCTTTGTCAGTGTTTAGGAAGAGTGTTTTTTTTGCAATCCACTTTTCTACTTCTGTAAACTGGTCTTGGAGCACAGCCTCAAGCTGCGGTAGATCAGATTTGCTCGCATAGATCACTGTGTCTGCGTTCATGTGTACATTTGAGGATTTGCAGGTCATTTATAAATAATGTAAATAGTAGGGGGACGAGAATGGAACGGTGGGGAACACCACATGTGACTGGGAGAGGGAGGGGCTCACTTTCAGAAATGGACACATATTGCGGCCGATCCGATACATACGATCGAAACCGGGTTAGCGGACAATCCCAGTTCCTGAGTTTTTCAGTTTGTGCAATAGAATGTCGTGGTCTACTGTGTCAAAGGCCTTTGCAAAATCAAGGAAAATAGCTCCAGTTAGGTCTCCTTGTTCCATGCTAGCTTGGATGTCATTGCAAACTTTTTAAGAGGGCAGTTGTAATGGAGTGATTCGGGCCAAAACCCGATTGATCAGGGGTCAGATAGTTTGATTGTTGGTAATACTCAGTTGCGTATGGACACATTTTTCTAAGATTTTTGACAATACCGGGAGCAATGATATTGGGCGATAGTTAGAAACCAAAGTAGTGTCAACACTTTTATGGATAGTCACTACTCTTGCAGTCTTCCAAAGTTTGGTTATGTTTCCAGACACCAAGGATTGGTTAATTAGGGTTATGACAGGTTTAGCAATTGCCGGCGCACGGAGCTTTAACAGCATTTTAGATTATTAAGGTGTTTCTTAATGACATTAATAGGTACAGGTCTAAAAATTAACTTGTCTATATTGGGTCTTTTTTCTTATTTAGTGGGGCCTGATCCACATCTGTAGTTTCAGGATGCTTGTCATTTATTAGCTTGGCAATCAGGAGTGTGGAGAATCCGACAAAATAATTGTTAAAGGCATTTGCTACATCTAAGGGAAGTTGCAGGGTTTGGTTACCCACTTTCACACTGGAGGAACTATGTGTTGGGAACTATGTAATTTTTCAGTGTCTGTCAGGCACACACTAGTGTTGGGAATCCGATTTAAGAAACTATAACATATAATCTAATTATTTTCCATTCTCAATCAGGGTTGTTGATTTTTTTTTTTTTTTTATGATTTTTTTTTTTAGGCCAGTGGTGGTCAGTTGGGTTGCTGGTTTATAAATATTTTCTCACAGTGGATAGAAAATATATTTTTTGTTTTCTAAATACATGATCTGCATGCCCCAAAAGCCTTTGAACCTCCTTTGCTCTACATTTATATCTTCTCCTGGTCATTGACTTGACTACTCAAAGGTTAAAATCAATTTTGGTTTCTTGGCAGTAGCTTCAATCCCCATCCCCCAGACTTCTTGGGTTTGGGCTGGGAAACTTCCTGTGTTTTTCATTCAAGCAGCTAGAGCAAGGAGCCAAGGAACTCTGCTGAATTTAAACATTGTACTGAAAATCTTGTCTTTGGATTTTAGCAGGGAAAAAAAACTTTGCAAACTGGGCATCAGATTGTGGGTTATGTAACTTTGAAGAAAAGCTCAAATATGATTTCTTGGCAATTTGGCAATAGTTTATAAGTCAATAACTGTCTGAAATTTGAGTTTAATGTCTGCGCCAGGTCAGTAAGCCTTTGGCTGTGTGCTTTAGCTTCCTGATGCCACATGTAACATTTTATTTATATTGTAGATTAATGGTGTCATAGGATAATCCGTAATAAAATGAGATTTGTTATCAAATGAAAATGATCAAGGAGGCTCCAAAATAAACTGCATGTTTGGGAAATAGGATGCACTCACATTTTTCATGTTTAGTTTGACTGTGTGTACATGTGCAAGAGCCAATATCATATGGCAAGATTTAGAACAAGCATATTTTTATTGGAATTTTTTTTCCCCTCAAACAAACTTTAAATGGATAAGTGCTTTGAAATGTGATATACCAAAAACAGTGATGAGTACCCAAGTAGTCTGTAATAATGGTGGGGCAAACCCAGTCCTGCAGTTGTGATGTCTGTTTCCATTCAGTAGGTTTATACCCACTGTCGGTACACATAACTCCTATTTGGTATTGCACATCCACAAGGGACATGGTTGCCTTTCTGTTAATGCTGAATAACATGAGCTTCCACCTACATATTTACATAATTGTATTAGAGATTTTTCGTGATGCTTCCAATTTTCTCTTTAATACCCTGCCTAACTTGCATGTATCCTCCAAATTGACACGTTTTGACTGATAACTTTATTTAGTGCGAAGACCCAATGACTAAAAAATATTTACTATAAAACCCTAAAGGATCAAGGATCACTATTGCAAAGTGCTGTGGAATAAGTTGGTGTTCTATAAATGCAAAAAGTAAGCCAGAGACCAGTTATTCTCGTTACTAGTAGAACTCATTCTCATACCTAGACTCTCTTCCCCTCTCATAGACTTGTGAATTAATAAAATTCCTTTCTCATGTGGGAAAGTAGTATTTGTAGTATACTTTTATGGCCATAATATGCTTAGTCTGCCACTACATATGTTTATACCAGTAACAGAGAAAGGGGTACAGGCACTCCAATAGCTTTAGGCACATTTATTAGAATCAAAGGAGCACTGCAGCGTTTCAACCCAGAATTGGGTTTTTGTCAAGCTGTACTCTACCTCTATATTTTGTACTACATAATTTTTATCCGTAATTGGCCAGCTCCTTTCTAGCCTGTTTTTAAGCTGCATCTCCTTCCCAGCTGTTTAGATACCAGAATTTGCTTGGGAATGTTTAACATATTGTTGGCTCAGCTGTGATTGGCATTCAAATTCACCTCCTGGTCAAGTAACGCTAAATGTTAAAATGCAAATTATCTTCAATACTATTTGAAGATGACCCTACCCTATTAAAATATTTCAAATTCCTTGTCTGCCACAGATAGTTAAAAAAAAATTTTTTTTTAAATGAATTTGTATTCCCCCGGTGTTTTATTGGCATACCACTCTCCCTTTAAAAGGAAACATTTTACATTATAGACCTACTTTTTCTCTATACATTGGAGTGTAATATAGCAAAAGTATGTGTGTGTGTATATTATATACCAGTCATGGACATCAGTCAATGACAAAAATTGGATACAAAGACTAAACAATTATATACGCACACACACACACTATTGTAACCCATATTATGCAAACTGCAGTATTCTATTATAATGCAACCTTAATGTTTGTTGTGCTCATACACATTATCTTGTACCACCTTTCTTATCAATAAAATGGAAAAATAAAATAAAAGTTAAGCTAAACAAGTTATGGTTTATAATCTTTATTGTAGTATGGATGTTTGAATTAAACTTATATTTTTCATTTTTACATCAAAATCTGTTATTAAAGGATATTCAAAAGTAAAAAAATAAAAAGGTAAAAATTAAATGAAATCAGCATACCCTGTAAAACTCCACTGTTTGGCACAATCCAAAGGGATCAGGAAATTAAAATACTTGCAGAGTATACCAGCAACATCCTCTCCCTTTACAGACTTCTCACTTTTCTCAAAGGGCATGTCTTTAACTCCCACATTTACATCAGATATTCCCACAGCTGACTTGGTGATTTCAAAACGCATTTGGGTTAACGTCACCAGAGTGCCACCCTCTGAGTTTAGCTCCCATGTTTGATCAAGGAGAATTTTCAACGCTAAATTCCCAATTGATTTAAAGCAAGTGTTTCAAAGAAATTTCTGGACTGTGTTTAAAGACCACTGCAAATGCCTATCAAATTAATAAATGTTCCTCTAGTCTAATATGTTGGATATTTATATACCCAATTTGAAGTAATAAATTAGTTTAATGGACTGTACGTTTATTGCAGTCTTTATTTTTTTTATTGGTGTAGATTTAAGAGAAGAGGGAGTGTCATCAAAATAATGTGATGTGTAGTCTGCCATGTTCTTTAGTTTTTGTATCCAATTTTTGTCATAGACTGTGATGTCTATGACTGGCTCAGAGATGAGTAATTTCATGGTTGAAGAAGGCATCACTAGCAGAGAAAACAGATTCTGTAGAGTTGCTGTAGGGAGCACATTTTGAGGTAGTTTTGTTGAATGCTTTAAACTAAGCAAGAAATTCATCCTTTATTGTCCATTTAGACTCCTGGTGGAAAAGGGCTTGAAAGGGGAACACAAACTGGCATTGCGGCATACCTAAAGCGGCTATTAGATCAGTTTTATTTTCTTGATCAATTGCCCCTCTGAAAGACCAGCTTCCTGATTTTATGTAAACCGTATCCTTTGCTTGCAATTAATAAAGAGGGCTCAACCCTTCTCTTAACTGTACTTGTCTGTCATGGTCTACATCTAACCATTCTGTCACTCTGTGGCTCTGTATGTAGGTCAAAAGGACATTGGGGTATAATGTGTACTTGGCGTTGTGCATTTGCTTCTGACCGCCAGAGTGCTACCATGCTGAATGGCTTCAGGCATTCCTGTGTGGACAAACTGCTGTTGGTATGACCAGTGCCACTGATTTGATACAGGCTCCTTTGTTAGGATGTGCCAAGCATTGCTGGGGAGTCCTCCTGAGGCACTGCACCCAGAGCCTCCTAGTGGTTATGACACTTGTACTGTCTCTTTAATTTATAGTTTAACACTAACCTCCTAGAATTCTCAAAGTTAATTGCATTGATAGAAAAGTCACATTTCTGCCAGCATTAACAAACCGCTTAATAAATTTGATGAATATTCACATCAATCGCACATTGTTGTGGGGTGTTTTTTTTTTTATTTTTGTGTGTGTGTGTTCAGGCCTAAAGTAGCAATGATAATGCATCTCTCTCTTTTTCCTCAGCTTTCTATTTTTGAGGTTGTTTAATGGGTACTATTTCTAACTTTAGTTTGTATGGGAATATTACCGGTAATATTTGTTTTTTGTTTAATTTGACGTGAATAGTGTATGGACTATGGATAGATGTCTGTCTAAAACACCTATAACTTGTTTTCAAAAAGAGTAGATTGGAAGCAATGTTTAATAATATATAAAATGTATAATATTGATTGCAGAAATAATTAAACAGTTCACCCTTGCAATGTTTTGTGTGTTTTTTTTTTTTTTTTCTCTTTTACATTTTATTGATCCATGCAGCTTAGACAGCTGACTGGAACGCTATTTAAATCTGAAAATGTATTCAATTTGTTAATAATTCTGCCTATGTGCCTTTGAATAATTTGCATGCATGCCTTTTCTCCTTTCTTTGTTCGAGTTTCAGTGTTCTCTTACAGTAAAGGAGTGTCCGAGAGCGGAAGGAAGGGAAAGGCTTTCATAGGGCCCGGGAATGTGAAACACATGTTCTGCTCTCTCCAGGGGTGGAGAGCATGCAAATGTATTAGAAGAAAATCTTTTAACCATTTAAACACTACACAGGATACATGACTGAAATTCTTTTCTCTTGATCTAAACACTGAAACTTAGGAAGTTACGGAATGTTTTTAATCCTTTTTCGAAAGTGGACTTTTATATGTTACTGACTTCTCGCGTTTTTATTTATCCAGAATTTGTATTAAATAGCTTTGAATGTTACCTGTTTGAGCTGTGTGTATGCCACATTGCATATGCTTTATTCTGAGTCCTCGTCAAACTATCTTGTCACACCACTTTATTTTTTATTTTTTATTTTTTTAAATACACTTAACCTTTAACACCTGTTAGTAATGCTGGTGGCATTTTTGACAGCTGTTTCTTTAAATATGCTACGGACAGGTGGTTTATTGGGAGGGGGTATTGAAGTAATCAGAAGTGATATGGTCACAGTATGTATCAATTAAACTGTTAATAGCTCCCGGTTGATTCCTCTCTTGCAACTGTCATTAGTCTAATACTATCCTTACCTTTTGTGTCCTTTTACCCCATTCCCTCTAGCATGTAAGCTCATTGAGCAGGGCCCTAAACCCCTCTGTTCCTGTTCGTCCAACTTGTCTGGTTACAACTACATGTCTGTTCGTCCACTCACTGTAAAGCACTGCGGAATTTGTTGGCACTATATAAATAACATATGTCGTGATAAAGAGTTAAAGGGACACTGTAGTCACTATAAGCATTTCATCTCTTTGAATTGGTTATAGTGCCTGGAGTGCCCTGGCACTGTCCCTCCATTCAGTGTTGCACCATGTTCGTGCAGTATGCCACAAAATAGGAGTCCCTGGCCACCCACAGTCCGGCCCCTTCAGTATGTGTAGCTAAGGCAGAGATTACACACTTCCTTGTTGTCATACTCATTCATACCGTCAGTTGGAACTTTGACAGGCTAAAAGCAGTCAGCTGACACTCTCAGCCAATCACAGCTGCCTATTGCTGCTCAGGCTAATACTTCCATATTAGCCAAAGCAGCACAGAGGGGATGGATTGCCGGGGACTCTTGTTTAGCATTAGAACAGTTTAAAAACTGTTTAATGCTGAAAGAAATGATTGTACCAGAGTACTCCAGACACTATAACCAGTTTAATGAGATGAAGCAGATACAGTGCCTACGGTGTCCCTTTAAGTATTGAAACAATATAAGAATATATAGAAGGAGAACGATATACAGATGGTCAGACCCAGCGATATGAGGGTTGGATGATAAACTGCATCAAAGGTGGCATAGGTATCAGGAAGGATGTGGACTGAAGAGGGTTTGGAAATTATATCTTATGGAATCACTCTAAGTATAATTGTTACAGTTCGTTGTAGTGGTTATGGTGCAGTGAGTCACCCGGCTCCATCCCTTCATAAGAAGTCAAACCATTTGCAGACTGTTTGAGAGAGAATGTAGTGAAGGGGAGAGATAAATAGCTGATAACAGTAGTTCAGAAAAGTATTTATTAGTTAAATTGTACAAAGCATTTTACATTCTCTGTAAAGTGTCTTAAATCCATTTCTTCAAGCCAGGTGAATGAATGAGTCAACTTATTTAAAATAACCAGATTACAGTAGTCTTTTTGTTCATTAACCTGCAACAAGTTTTTTTTTGTTTTTTAACCTTACAAATCACTCTAAGGCATCACATTTATGGAAATGGTTCAGTTGTTAACTTGCCCTGCAGATGTTTGAAATTACGTTAGTCTGTAGGAAGATGCATTGCAAAGGAATTTTAAGGTCCCACACTCCAACAAAGTAAACAGCCCACAATTGGCACTGACCAGCAGCTGATGCATACACCGATGAGTACTGACATGATGGAAAGACCTGTCCCCCTGTAAGTATTAATGCTTGCAGTGAAACAGAAACACTTCCCAGCACAAGTTTCTAAGGAGTCCTGAATATGTTGTCAGCGTTTACAATGCAAGCATGCTTCAGATTCTTTGCAAACCGCAACAGTTTCTCGGAAGACACAGTGAAGGGGTCCTTAATCTTAGACATACAAAGCAAAGCCATATTCATGTCCTAGATATGCTAGCCATTCCTGCCTAGTACAGACTTTGGATTTTATTTTAAAGGAGGATTTGAAGAGTTGGTAAATATATTGTGTAAACTAGAGTCTCTTAATATCATGTTTTTCTGAGAGAAACTCATATTGCAAACTGGCTGAATGGTAACATGTTAACCATCCATTAACAGTATTTCTGTCTTTATTTTGCTTTATTTCATATAGCGAGTATGTGACTGCTAAAAATCTAACTCTTTTGTGTTATGGCAGATGTCAATGTAAGCAGTAAATGATTTTCAACATTAATAAACCAATATCTCTTGTAATACCTGCAGTATTACAGGAGGAATACCTTTTGCTTCTGTGGACTCATTTACATGAAAACTCCCATTTTAAAAAAAAATATTTCAACAGTACCTTAATTGTTTCTTTCTAAAATGAGATTGTATGATTCACTGTGCCCATATACATGCATTTTCCTTCTCAATAAATGCAGTCCCAGGGCCTTTTACAGATGCCTATTAAACTATGAGATAGCTGAGATCTCTTGAGGTATTAGTGGTAACATAGACATGCCCTTTTATCCGACGCTTGCCCAAGGTATAAATAGTAAGTAGATTTTGCTGAACAGGGATCCACTGAGGTATAATCAGTGAAATTCGATGTTTAACAAATTGCACCACTGAAAAATAAGCTATACAGGGAATGTTAGTAGTTAGTTGACGTGTGTGTGTGTGTGTGTCCAGCTATAAGACACCACTGAGGTGCCAGTTAGGTGAGCGAGTTTCAGTCCAAGTTACCTTGTGAAGGAACATTGGCTATAGGTACAAAAGAATGTGGGTCCATGTCTATCCATATTTCTGAATATATGAAGACTCAAAACATGAAGCATTGGATACAGTTGATTTAAATTGGACCATTTGTACTCTTATTCCAATCTGCGAAGGTACCTACTAATCATTATACAATAATAGCCCAACTGTAAGTGTTTGGACTGATGTGGCTGCTTAAAGGACCACTATAGGCACCCAGACCACTTCAGCTTAATGAAGTGGTCTGGGTGCCAGGTCCAGCTAGGGTTAACCCTTTTTTCTATAAACATAGCAGTTTCAGAGAAACTGCTATGTTTATAATAGGGTTAATCCGGCCTCTAGTGGCTGTCTCATTGACAGCCGCTAGAGGCACTTCCACGCTTCTCACTGTGATTTTTAACAGTGAGAAGACGCCAGTGTCCATAGGAAAACATTGTTAATGTTTTCCTATGGACTGGCTGAATGCGCATGCGCAGCACGAGGAGGAGAGTCCCCCGCCCGGCACTGGAGAAAGAGGTAAATTTAACCCCTTCCATCCCCTAGAGCCCGGTGGGAGGGGGGCCCTGAGGGTAGGGGCACCCTCAGGGTTCTATAGTGCCAGGAAAACGAGTATGTTTTCCTGGCACTATAGTGGTCCTTTAATGGAATGAAAATATTTTACAGGGCATTAAGTTCTACATTTTTACACGACATAACATACTGTAAGATACTTTAGAAGAATCACAAATATTCTAAAGCTTCCGCATATAGATTCAAGTTGACTCCATGATAGAACGCTCCATGCGTCTCCAATACCATCTCGCTGTCAAACTATTACACATTTGTTGGGTGTTGTGCTTGATAAGTCTGTTTTTAAAATGCTTTGATTTTCAGAGGACTTGTCTTAAAGCAATAATTCAGTAATTCTTCCAACAGTGTTGTACAGTGCAGTCAGCAAATATAATGTTTATTATTGCAGAGAAATGCTAGAATATGAACAAAATTCTTTACCAAGTCATATGGGAGCTTTTTAATGAATACCCTGAATAATTTTAATCAAGATTTGACATTTTGTTTTAGATTTTAAAATGACAAAAGCTCCCTCCTTTCTGCATCAAATAACGCCCACTTGAATATGTGGGTAGAGAATATAGCCTAAGCTCTTTAGATGTATTTAAATTCCATTCATAAGCTGTCAGTATTCACATGGTTGTATTATAGTTCTCTGACTACATGCATAATGTAGTGTGACTTCATGCTAGAAATGTTAGTGGAAACAATAGGTATATATATTATTCTATAACCAATTGGCCAGTAGATAATTTATTTATAAAATGCTCAGTTTTATAGAATATATTTTTGATGGTACTGCTTTCTGTAAATAATCTCTGGTAAGACTTCCTGAATTCCTAACTAAAGAAGGGAGAACCTTTAGCCAGGGTAACAGTGACGTCTGTAACGTGTGAGTTGTATTTATAGAACGACTGACATTACATTCTATAGTGTAGGGGTGTCCATTTATTTTTTTAAAGCTACAGTAGATTAGAGTTAATAGATACAAGCTAGTTTAGTCCCCTGTTTCGGTTGCTCAGATACAGAGTCTGATTAGAGTTCTGCGAATCTCACAAAAACTCTGTACATGGCAGGCTTGATTTTCTCCTATGTTCTTTAAATATAGTAGTGTTCTGTCATGGTTTAGGAGAGTGACCACTAAGCTTGAACTACAATTAATTTGATACAAAGCCATCCTTGCTGAGCAATAATATAGGAGATGTTGTTCAGAAACCTCCTGTAGTGTAAAGTTGAGATGAAGTGGCCTGGGTGACTTTAGTGGTCCTTTTTAAAAATTTTAAAGGACCACTCTAGGCACCCAGACCACTTCAGCTTAATGAAGTGGTCTGGGTGCCACGTCCTTCTAGGCTTAACCCATTTTTTCATAATTATAGCAGTTTCAGAGAAACTGCTATAATTATGAATGGGTTAAGCCTTCCCCCTAATCCTCTAGTGGCTGTCTCATTGACGGCCACTAGAGGCGCTTGCGTGCTTCTCACTGTGAAAATCACAGTGAGAGCACGCCAGCGTCCATAGGAAAGCATTGTAAATGCTTTCCTATGAGACCGGCTGAATGCGCGCGCAGCTCTTGCCGCGCGTGCGCATTCAGCCCAGGAGGAGGAATGGAGGAGGAGAGAAGGAGGAGAGCTCTCCGCCCAGCGCTGGAAAAAGGTAAGTTTTTACCCCTTTCCCCTTCCAGAGCCGGGCGGGAGGGGGTCCCTGAGGGTGGGGGCACCCTCAGGGCACTATAGTGCCAGGAAAACGAGTATGTTTTCCTGGCACTATAGTGGTCCTTTAAGCTTCAAATGGTTTTCTGTTTTGCATACCTGTTTCATTTCTAATGATGCTATTTTTTTGACTATTCTGTTCTGACTTGGAATTCGGAGTATTGGTTGAAATCAGTTGATTCTTGTTAGGAAAAGGTTGAGAAGCTTCAGCTGAGACCATTAATTGTAGAATAGGTTTTTATTTACTGATTATTGAAATAACAAAACATGTACCAGCCATCATCTACTATGGGAAAGTACAGGGTTTGTTTGGTTTTGTTTTTGGAGGGGGGGGAGGGGGGGGTGGTTGCTTTTTTAAATTGGCATAGGTATTTTTTTTAATAGGTATAGTTTTGTCTTGAATATGAATAAAATTGGCATAGACGGTCCTGGTCTCTGTATTTATTAAGATTCCTTTGTTATGGAACCCTGGTTTTTATTCAGTAAAGGTAGAATATGGTTTGAGTGACCAAAAGAAGGTTTGGGAAGTAATTGCTGCTCATTTCCACAAGTTTTTTCCTGAGGTTTTAGTTGTAGTTGACTTGATTGACTAATATTCAGGTTTCTGTATAATTGAGACTTGCATGTGTTCTCACATACTGACCAAAGATTTAAGCACCTGTCGTGGCGCTGTGTGGATTGTTTTTTTTGTTTTGCTTATTAATCTCTCTCCTCATTTAATGTTTTTATTTTTTATTTTTTATGGGATTGTTGCCAGGGCTGCATAAACAAAGTGATTTAACTCCTAAATGACAGAATGAGCAGTGAGACTGCAGTGGCTTCTAAAAACTGCTCCATTAAGTTAGTTTTTCTGGTGTCTGTAGTATCCCTTTAACTTACAGGGACACTCCAGTGACCAAATACAAAATAAATAAAAATCAATGCTTAGTATATATACCCCCAAAGTAAAACTTTCATGTATTTAATTATGATATTTTTTTTTTTCGGGAGGGGGGTTATATATACAGCTGGAAAAAAATATGCAGTTCTCTTGTCTGCTACCTTTGCAATCCCTTTCTTTCTAACCCAGCCCAAACCTTCTTTGACTGTCCAATCACAGGCTTCCCTATGCAGCTCAATTGGAAGTCTTTGCAAGGCAGGCGCTCTGAGCAATTGTTGCCTTTCGAGTTTAGTTCCACTGAGCTAAACAAACCAGGAAATAACATGACCTGCTGTCTGCTTGAAAGCCAGGGGGTGTAACCAGGTGAATGTTTAAAACCGTAAATTTCCTGAAATCTGCAGTTTTTGTAAAATAGAAAAAAGGACACGCTCTTCACACACACACAGCTTTTCAGCAAGCGAAAGTGCATTTGGGGTCTGGAGTGTCCATTTAAAAACTTTTCTTCCCGCATGCATAAATAAACCAGGCTCACCCAGGCACACAATATAAATGAAGGGATCAGAAATATTGTTTTGCTTTCTACTTTTCTGCCATTTTCAGTAGCAGTGAATGACAATATTTATAACCATGATTGAGGCACCCAGTTCCAGAATAGATGTGTGTGGATGTATTCCTTTGTTTTGTTTCAGGTCTCATAAAAGCATAGTTGCTAAACATAGAGCATTAAAACAAAATATTAAAAATTATAGGGCAGTACCCCTTTCTACAAATAATGGTACCTCTTGCACTCTGTTAAAGTGTGGCTACATCAAGAGTAAATATATCTATTAGTGTGAGGAATGCAGAAGTAGATGTATGGAATATACAACCAGTAGAGAGCTAAAGAGTAAGAGCTTGGAAAGGATCAGCAAAACCACAAATAACATCTGTGTTTTAATGAGGAAATGGGCAGACTAGAAGACTAGGCATGTCAATTTGCATTGATCTGTAGTAACTCTGATTTGTCAGAGATCTTTCAGGAGATCAGGAACTTTGAGCCCCTACACACTATCCCTGCTCTTTCCCAGGCTAACCTTCAAACATTGGCATACCACGCTTCTTAAAGAACTGTTTTCAAGTAACCTAAAACAAAAGTAAAGACTGAGTAAGGTTAAAAAAATGAAGTGATTATAGTGGGTTTTTTTTTTTTGTTTAAACTGTGACTTCTACAATAATATATTTAAAAATAAAGGCCCATAACAGCTGAAAGGGGCACTATATGCATTTGTTAATGCTTCATCTCCTTTAAGTGGTTCTAGTGTCTAGTGTACCCTGGTGATGCCCTTACATTCAGCATTAAACAGTTTTTATTGCTAAGCGAGAGTCCCCAGTTACTTGTGCTGCTTGGACTAATGAGAAAGCAGAAACCAAGGAACCTTTTTATTTAGTTATAAATTGTTCAAAAATAATTTAACACTGAACAGAGAGACAGTGCCAAGGGGAATACAGACACTATAACAAACTCAATGAGATGAAATGGTAATAATGCTGTGTCCCTTTAAGAAGTTTGAAGTATAACGAATTACAGTTTGAAAATGTTGCTGGAACAGTATGCTTTATTAAGATTATGACCAGACAGATTTAGAAAAACTAGTATGTGTGACATTGGATCTATAGTGAAGGCAATATTTTGAACTTTCTGTTTTCAATTTGAGCGTTTCAACAAGAGTATATACAATGGATAGGCAACCTTCGGCACTTCAGATGTTGTTTACTACATCCCCCCCATAATGCTCTTACACCAATAATGCTATCAAAGCATCATAATAAGCCTCTTCTCCTAGGATGTCACCGGGCGGCCGGTTCTGCGGGCGCGCGAGGGAGCACTCTCCCCTGAGCGCTCTCTGCCCAGCTCCCTCGCACGCACCGCACTGATGCCGGCATCAGTAAGCGGCGCGTGAGGGAGCTGAACAGGAGGATCTCAGTGCTCCCTCGCGCGCCCGCAGGACCGGCCGCCCAGCAACACCACTGGACCCCAGGGAATCCCCACAGCACTCCCAAAGGTAGGGAGGTTGGGGGATCGCATTTTTAAAAACGTGTGTGTGTGTGTTAGTGTGTGTGTGTTAGTGTTAGTTTGTGTGTCATTGAGTGTGTTAGTTTGTGTGTGTCTGCTAGTGTGTGCCAGTGATTGTGTTACTGTGTGTCTGTTACTGAGTGTGTTAGTTTGTGTGTCTGTTAGTGAGTCTGTGTCTGTTAGTGAGTGTATGTATGTCGCTGAGTGTGTCTGTCAGTAAATGTGTGTGTCTGTTAGCGAGTGTGTATGTGTGTGTTTAAAACCCCTATAGCACTTACCTTACTCCAGTGCTGGACTCCCTTGGCGCTGGGGATCCCTCTGCCCCGATCCGCCTCTCAGCCCTGCATGCGCGGCAAGAGCCGCACGTGCATTCAAACCGCCCATTGGAAAGCATTACTCAATGCTTTCCTATGGACGCCCAGAGATTTCCGGAAGTGCCTCTAGCGGCTGTCAGTGAGACAGCCACTAAAGGCTAGATTAACACTCAGTGAAACATAGCAGTTTCTCTGAAACTGCTATTTTTTCAGCTGCAGGGTTAAAACTAGAGGGACATGGCACCCAGAGCACTTCATTGAGCTGATGTGATCTGGGTGTCTGTAGTGGTCCTTTAAGTGTGTCTGTGTGTATCTGCATGCACTGGCATAAATACCGCGGTCCCAGCCCTGCGACCAGGTGCCCGCCGCCATGGGGGGGGTGGGGGCGGGGAGGCGAGGGTTGCCTACGTATCAATTCTCGCACCGGGGCCCCATGGGTCGTGTGTACGCCACTGAATGAGACATTAGCATTTTTAGCTTTGGGCATATTTAGGGACATGCTAAGAACCTAAACTACTGCATGTTAATGCAGTGGTTTTGGTGCAGATATCCAGTACCTATTCTTAAATCTCGAACAGCTCCCCATGCTGAGAAAAAAGAGTGAAAATAATATGTACTTTTTCTCAGTGGGAAACTTCACAACGTATAAGTGACGCCCGGTCCAAGACCTCTTGAAGCCTTGGACATTGAGAGCAAGCTCCCAGGCAGAGTGAATGTTCTGATTAATTTATGGAGCTTGTGACCCTTTAAGCTAAGTTTAATTGTGTTTTAATTGCTTTATTCATTTTTTTTTTTTTAAAGTGGGCTCTAAAGTTAATAATAAAAGGACGTGGGTACTTCCCCCTTTCAATTTAGCTAATCAAAAGAATAAAATACCCAAGAGTTTACTTAGTATAGATAATGGATAACCATTGGATTATCCAGACAGGCGCTTAAAATATTAATATACAAACTTTATTAATTAGGCTTATTTGTAGCACTTTTGATAACCCTTTGTAGGTAATTAGTGCACTGGAAAATAAACCAGTGTACCAGGGTAGACAAGGGGTTAAACCATAGTATTAGTGTTAAAAAAAAACAGTTTATTTTCCAGTGCACTAATTACCTACAAAGGGTTATCAAATGTGCTGCAAATAAGCCTAAAATTTGTATATTAATATTTTAAGCGCCTGTCTGCATAATCCAATGGTAACCCATTATCTATACTAGGTAGGAATTGCTTTACACGGCTAGTATATTTCACTTGCACTGGGTATATATGTGGTTTGTGTATTGGTGCATGCAGAGTGGACTGTGATCCCATTTACCTCAGGATACTGATTAAATTTTTCCAGTTTTTACCTTGTGTACCTTATTGTGGATTAGGTGAATCTTCCCCCTTCCAATTTAGTAGCTTTTAAAGGTCATTTTGACTTAAGTTTGTCCGGTTTATAAAAAACAATATAGGATGCTTATATTTTTGGAAGAGATCATTTCAAACTAACACTATTTTGCAAGAGAAGTTTTCTGACCATTTTGTTCCTGCATTAAAGCCATTTGCTTTTGGTAATTCTGATTAACTTTCTGTTAGTCCTCCTGCAAGGAAAAAAAAAATCAAAACAACTTCATCTTGGGACATCTGGCTGCTAGGACTGCAATGCTTACATAACCTTCAAGCAGGATTGATAGTTTATATGAAAAGGCTGTTTTTGGAGAAACAGGATATCTAGTTGCAGTTTGCAAAGGATTAGAAGCTAAACAGCAAGAACCCTTTCCCTCTGTTATCTTAAAATGTCTGTTTTGTTCTTGCTAGGGCATTAACTATTTAGGACATATCTGAAGAAGCTCTAGATAAATGTTGGACACGCGCTCTTAATTGGTGCTATTAATGCGAGCTTGTGAGTAAGAAACAGTAGCATTTACAAAGCTCTCCCAAGTTTTTTATTTTCCTTCTTTATCTTTTGAGATTTTTATAGCTTGCAGTAACATTACAATGATGCATCTATAAAATTTAACTTTTAAGGGACACTATAGACACCTAGACCACTTCATCTAATTGAAGTGGTCTGGGTGCTGTGTCCTTGCCTCTTTAACCCTGCAATGGAAATCAGTGCAATTTTAGAGAAACTGCAATGCTTGCATTGCAAGTTAAGACTTCCTCTTAACGCTTTGCATGAGGGCATCCAGCATCTTGAAAAACCGAGTAGGAAAGCATTGATTCTATGATTTTATATGGTGGAGATTTAATGTGCACACAGTTCTTGCTGTGCATGCGCACTAGGTTTCCTTATCACTGTGACATCTGCAGAAGAGGAGCCCAATCTAGTGCCGAGGGATATCGGCGCTGGATTCAGATAAGTAAAAAAACAATTATTTTTTTTTTTTAAACTCTTTATTTTCCAGTGGGGCAGGGGGCAGAAGGACACGCTGGTGTTAGGAATACAGTTTTGTATTCCTAACACTATATAGTATTCTTTTAAAGACATACTCAACATGAATGAATGCACCAAACATGCAGAATTTATGCTAACGTGTGTCCCTTTGGCTGAGTTAAGTTTCTTCCAACTCCTCTTTTTCAGGTTAAACTGTGCAAGTCTCTTTACTCTGCCTGCCTGGTATATACACACACCATAGATTAACCCCTTAAGGACACATGACGTGTGACATGTCATGATTCCCTTTTATTCCAGAAGTTTGGTCCTTAAGGGGTTAAACTAAGTGACAATCTGTTTAACATTATGTGAACAAGATTTATTTTTATTTTGATGCAACTACTTTTCCATGTTTTCTCACTTTAGCTTAACCCAGATTTGTTGGCTGATCCTTGTCAATTAGGAAAAAGCGCTTATGGAGCAAATAATGGTCACCCACATGTTTCTAATTTGTGAAAAACAATTATGGTCCCTAAATCAGGTGATGTTAAAAAAAAATATAGCCCCAGGCTCTGTAAAAGTGTGGGGGAAGCACATTTCATTTGCATTTACCAGTTAGCAATCTGAAGTTGTAGTGAGCAGTAATTTTTCCCACAAACCGTATGAGTACTGTAAATTAACCTGCTACAAGCAGTTAAAATGCTTGTGGTCGGTCTCCAGAGCAGTCCTTGAGCCATATTTGGTCCAATATTGAACTGATGCCTATATTATCCCATTGGAACCATAGTCTGCCAGAGGAAGAAATATACTAAGGATCTGTAAAATGCTAGATATGATTTATCATTAAACATGGTGGATTCATGCTTAGATTAAACATTTAACGAGCTGAGGTTTATCTCTACATAGCACTTGTAGGTGCCTGGGAGCCTGATGCTCTTTTAGTATATTCTGACAACTATACTAATGAATTGCCTGCATTTTTGTACCCTATAACCAACAGAGAGCAGATGAGTTTGGATAAGCTTTGGTGAAGAGCTTTGCATTTTCTATTGTATAAGGTGCACTGCCGAATGGATTGGTGTGTTGGGTAATTGCTTAGAACATGAGGAATAGGACAGTGCTTGATTTTCACCAAGGAATTGTATGTCACACATGTTAGGGCCAGCTTTGGTTTTGGGGTATAAATTCCCATTATGTATACTTGAGTGTTTTTTTTTCATCTTTAAACTTTTGCTTTTACCAGTTTTGGAAGGATAAGGCGAGATAACAGATACACAATAAGTGGAAATGTACTTTACAATATGAATTACTATGACAGGAAACACAATTTCACTTATTTCCTTGATTAATGCTACCTGTAGTGTTGCCAAGTAGAAACAGACTTGATAATTTCCAAGCATGCCCCTTGTTTCAGGAAAGTAACTGTGATTATGTTAGACTATCTTTAAAGGAACACCATAGTCACCTAAATTACTTTAGCTAAATAAAGCAGTTTTAGTGTATAGATCATTCCCCTGCAATTTCACTACTCAATTCACTGTCATTTAGGAGTTAAATCACTTTGTTTCTGTTTATGCAGCCCTAGCCATACCTCCCCTGGCTATGATTGACAGAGCCTGCATGAAAAAAAAAAACTGGTTTCACATTCAAACAGATGTAATTTACCTTAAATAATTGTATCTCAATCTCTAAATTGAACTTTAATCACATACAGGAGGCTCTTGCAGGGTCTAGCAAGCTATTAACATAGCAGGGGATAAGAAAATCTTAATTAAACAGAACTTGCAATAAAGAAAGCCTAAATAGGGCTCTCTTTACAGGAAGTGTTTATGGAAGGCTGTGCAAGTCACATGCAGGGAGGTGTGACTAGGGTTCATAAACAAAGGGATTTAACTCCTAAATGGCAGAGGATTGAGCAGTGAGGCTGCAGGGGTATGTTCTATACACCAAAACTGCTTCATTAAGCTAAAGTTGTTCAGGGGACTATAGTGTCCCTTTAAACACTGTCTATTTTATTATCACTAATCTAAATTGAACATATATAATTTTTAGTCAACCCAACTCTGTGGCATAATTCCATGCTTAGACACGTCATGGCAGAAATACACACTTTTACATTTCTATCCCTATCATAGCCACCAATAAGATTGGGTCAAAAACTGTTATTCAGTGTGTTGCTTAGCTATTGATTTTACACATGGCTATTATAGAACTAAATATTTTATAGTTCAACTAAACCTTTTTGTTTGCGTGTATTGACGTTTGTGAAGAAGAGTAAACCCTCATTGTCACTTTTTCCTGATTACAGTTGCTCTGCACACACTGTAGGACTTCTTCAAACCTTGGTGTCACAGGTTTTGTTCCCATCAGATTTTGTTTGACCTTTTAATCCTTTTAAGGGTGATAAATGTAGTGCCATTGGATTGGGTAATAACAGTTCTACCCTAGGGCTGGAGAGCTTTAATCAATCCTTCCAGGTGAAACACTTTAAATAGGTACATGAAGGCATTTAAGTCTTAATCTCTTGTCCTCAAGTGTGCAGCAGTGTAAACAGCCATCACTAATTAGTCTCGCTAACCATCCGAAGAAGGCCGGATGGGTAATACTACATCTGGTACATCAGCTATAGTTTTGTTTATTAGTACATTTGGTAACACTCTTTGACAAAAAAATGAAGTTTTTTTTCTGCAACTGAAATATCCACATCTTTTTGAAATGATTATGTGCAAAAAAAAAAAGTTCACTTATAATTATAAAATCAATTACTTGTATGTTTTTTCCATCTATATTTTTCTTTATATGCCTTTGAACACGCTGTGCAAAACCACCTCTACTAACAGGAGCAATTCATACTTTCACCAAACACAAATATTTGGACTGCCTAATGAATAAAAAAGTTTAATATGTAAAGAAAACTGCATACTTTTTACCAGGTGTCTTGTACCATTGCTACAACAAGAACCTGCAGTGGATATGGTGCTTGAAATTTTCCTTCATTTAAGGTTATTGCTTTTATTATTGCTTGCATTCTCAAGCTCTTATTTATATATTTTTAAAATTTAAATAAAGGGACACTGTAGGCACTTTACAACTTCATCTTATCGAAGTTGTTATAGTGCCTGCACTCCTGCCCCCATTCTAACCTCTAAAACCCATTGTTAAATTAATTAGAAGACTTGGAAGCACGGCTTCAAGCCATGTCTCCAAGCCCTCTGAGTATGAGAGCTGGGAATCTTACTAACCGACTCACATAACGTTACTTCTCACATACACGTGCACAGTGCCGTCAGCGACCATAGAGAATCATTAAATACAGCGATACACTATAGAAAAATCGTAGGCATATTGCGGTGAGCACCATGCATGCGTCTACGTTCCCCACTGGATTGGCCCATCATACTTAAGGTACGCCTTCAGAATTACGCAATCTGAGGAGGAGGTCACAGTAGTGCTGATGTAGACTCAGCGCTGGAGAAAAGGTGAGTACGTTTTGGGTTTTCTTTTTAATTTTACACAGTGGGGGGGAACCCAGTTGATATGAGGCATCAGAGCTGTAGTGTTTGGAAAACAGATGTGTATTCTTAACGATACAGTATTCCTTTAACCGTGAAAAGTCAAACACCACACCTGTCTAGTGGTCTCTAAATACCTAGGAAAAATACAAAATCTATTGGGATAGATCTTCCAGAGACCTTTTTATTTGGATTCCTGATCTTTCTTACTGGTTAGGCCCATAGAAGGGTTCCCCGACAGTAAGAGACTAAATAATATTCACCCACCTCCCCCCAATTTATTTTTTGACACTTTTTTCTATTTTATGTTATTTGAAGCACACTCACAATGACTAAATGTAACTTGGGTTATGACTGATTCCATGCTCCACTGTTTATTGTGGTTTTGTTTTAATTGTATAAAATCTTGTGATTTGACTTATAATTAATCCTATTAATTTTTGCTCTGTGCAATGTGTATTAGTCTCAAAATAAAGAATAATAATTTTAAAAAAAGCCTCATCTATTCCTTTCCTTCAAATTCTTGTTCCTCATTTTTGGTATGGATTTGTTGCTGTTTGGGATAAGTATCAAATCCTTCCATTCATGTGTCCACCAATAGAAAAGCAATGGGATGTGTAAATCTGCATATGCACACAGGCACTCTGCTTTCCTCTGACCGGAAACATTTGGTGAACATGTGACATCAGAAGGAAGCCATGAGGTCAGTGGTTCTAGGAGAGATGCTGCATAGAACTCTGCATTCTTTGACAGTGAACATACATTGTGCTCTGCTGTTCCCAGAAAAAAATAATCCGGGTTTCCTAATTGAATTTGCTATACATTGCTTGGATTTTTCTTTTTCTTTTTGGCAAAAAACATGTTTCTCCTACCAGTGAGTGTAAGTATAATGAGCTAAATGTGTTAATGTGGAAAATTCATCTTGGACACCGTTGGCATGTTTCTACTGAATGTAAAATGTTTACAATTTGGTCCCAGAATTGCTCTTTATATGCACCCACCGCTTCACTCGTCAAATCACAGGTGAGGTGCAGTTTTGGTATCGGATGCCAATCAAGTATCAACCATCCTGCTGTTGTCATAAATTAAAATATTGCACATTAGCCTGAAGTACATGCAAATGCATGGATACAATTTGACAGTTCTGAAGAAAATATTTTGCATAAGTTGTAACCCACGTTTTAGTCTGAGTATATTGACTAATAATTCGCAGTCCATTTTTTACCAAGTGTACTGCCTGGATACTTGGCTTTTACATTTCAAAGATCTGTTTGGTCAAACCAGACTTTATCAATGCAAGCAAACACATGCTTACTCTGTTATGGAAAAATAAACTATATCAAGACAGGCTGCCAGAGTTTGTAACCAGATAGTATCTGTTGAACTGAACAATACACTTATTCAATCATATTTGTGAATGTTATATTACTGCACATATATATCTGTCAGTCTGAATACTTGCATGGCTCCATTACTGCCTTGCCTCCTCTTTTTCAATACCTTCTCTAAATGACAGACAAAGTTTAGAAAATGTAAGGAATTGTAATCCTGCACTATAATAAATATATACATTTGTGTCTCTGGAATTTTAAATAACTTGAATATATCCTGCTTCAGTCTTTACTTTGGAATGTACAAAGATGGTGTTTGTGTTAGGGATTAAATAATATCCCACTGTATAGATTTGAGTGAGTCAGTGTTAATTTAAAAAAATAAATCTTAAGGATGTTATTATATATTCATTTGTGCTAGATTTAAATTTTTTTAAAGGCATTCTATAGTCACAGGGCTCAAAATTGCCTATAGCCATTGGCAAATGAACATCTCTAGCCCTAGAGGGTATACTTTGACTTGCAGTGGAAGGTAATCTTTAAGGCATGACAAGTAGCATAAGACTACAAATGTTAAGCTCTGGTCTTAGAAAGATTGTTTTCAGGACTACAAATTCCCTACCGCTATGGTGACCCATGCTTTCTAAAAATGCAACAATATGTAATATGTACTCTCCTTGTTTCCATTGCCATACACATTTGTTTTACATTGCAGCAACATTTAAGGCCACTGCACACAGACCTCTTTATTAAGATAAATTGGTCTGGGTACCTATAGTGGTCCTTTAATCAAGTTTATCTTCAGAATATGCACTGTATGTATTTGTAGGGAAATTGGATAGCGTTGTGATGCTGTGGTGTGAACTGCAATCTGCTCCAGATATTTACAGCTGTTGATATAGAAGCAGTATTTAGCAGTAGTGATGTCCTGAACGGTTCGCCGCGGACTCATCATTCCAGCCAATCAGCAGCAGACCCTCCCAACTCCTGGACAGCTCACTAAGAATGCAGCTTCAAAATGGATGCTGTCCAGGAGGTGGGAGAGTCTGGGAGGGAGGGTCTGCTGCTGATTGGCTGGAATGATGAGTCCGCGGCGAACCGTTTGGGACATCACTATTTTGCAGCTCGAATTATGTTAAAGACTGTTTTATAATTTTTAGATGTGTATGATTTATTGTCATGTTCCAAAATTTAATATGTTGGTTTTTTTTTCTTTTCTTACAGGTGAATCTGGTCTGGGAAAGTCCACACTCATCAATTCACTGTTTTTAACAGACCTGTACTCCCCAGATTACCCTGGTCCTTCACACAGAATTAAAAAAACGGTTCAGGTATGATTTTAGTTTGTTTTTCTTTCTCTTTCTTCTTCACTTGAATAGTAAACATTTACTCTAAAAAAACAAAAACTATGACATCTACAGAAATGTTTCCTGAACTATTTGCTTGTCAATGTAGTTTAAAGGAACACTATAGGATCAGGAACACAAACATATTCCTTACCCTTTAGTGTTAAAACCACCATTTAGGTGCCTTGCCCCCACCTTAGCCCCCGTTAAAAGGTAAAATAACTTGCCTTATTTCCAGTGTCTTGGAGTGTTCCTTTAAGCACCTCTTTGGATTGCAGAATTTATAGAAAATTGTGCAGATCTGTTCTGCTAAAATGTTCAACTAAAAATTGCAGTCAGATTTTATGTGGCAAACTTGACAGTTGCTATAGTAAGTCCTTGTTGCAGTTTGCAGTAGATTAGGTATTTTGTTTACTGACTCAAAAGAAGACAGTCTACAGGAATGTTCTCTTGTAGCCATCAACATGTAAGATGTTGTTTTCTCCTTGTTTCCCTCTCCCCCATTTATCTTTTATTTTTTTCAAAATGACTGAGAACACTGTGTGCTTCTACATAGATTTTAAACATTTGTTAAAGGAACACACCACTGCCCAAGTGGGCTAAAAAGTACAAATCACTGTAAGTACCTCTATTATAAATGCTTGTATTCGTTAAAAGTATATCTTAAAAAATCTTGCAAAAGCTGCAGTTCTTAGAAACTGCATCCTTTGCAAGCACCATCCTTTCTCCAGGAGAGTCTAATAGATGCTTCTGAAGCTGTACCTCTGTTTGTGTGCACACGTGTTAGTGCGTATGTACTGCACAGCGTTCTGTTCAGAGATTTGAGAAGAAGGAATGCAGGAGGCAGGCAGGCGTGCGTGCTCACGGTAGCTAGCATAAGCAGGAAGCTTTCCAACCTCAGGATGGTATTTCTTTGAGAAACTGTAACTTCTATAAGGTGCCTTTTGAAATGAGATACTCCTCACCCATGAAGCACATCAACAAGCTTGGCTGCTTTACGGGCGTTGTGTGGTTCTTTACTAAAGAATGTGGAAGCTTCCATACACCACGGGATCAGTGGCACATTGGTTTCACCAGCAGAAAGTGGAGACTTTAGTTTGGGTTGTGTATGTGCCTATGTATTTATCATGCCACACTGGTTTTATTTTATATGGTAAAATTCTGTACTTTTGAAAGTTGTTGACTGAATACACACCGTTTTGAATGAGATGCTCTCACAGCATGGCATGATTTCAATCTAATACTAGTTTAACTGCAAGCTGGAGACCAAATAGTAGTGTATGCTCTCCCCCCTCCCACCTCACCCCCCTCATTTTTATGGCTGAAGGGGAGGGGGGCAATAGTGATGTGCACGTAATTTAAAGTAGTGGAATAGTAGAATTTTTTTTAAGCCAGTGGATGCCAACGGATATATAGAAAAAAAAGAGTTGCCCTCATAAACCCTGGCTAGAGAATGCCCCAAAAGGTCAGTTCTTAAGAATAAGACGTAACTGTACGAACCAACAGGATTACATAAACCAAGCGGGCCTAATAAAGAAACAATTTTTAGAAAAGGTCTACGAAGAGACTAAATTAATTGCAGCTATGGAAGAAATTCAAAACACCCCCAGAGAACAGTTACTAACTTATAAACAACGTCAAAGAGATTCAAACACAAATAAATAAATGAAGCCCATTTCATATGTAATTTTAACGGAAACAGCAAAAAAAATTAATAGAGCTATCAATAAACATTGGTATATTCTACAAAGAGATCCAATCTTGAAGAACCTATTACCAACAAGACCAAAAAGTATTTATAGAGGCGCAGCAAATTTGAAAAGATCATTAGTTCACAGTAGTGAAGGTTCACCTAAATTCACACAACATTTCTTAAGCCAAAGCAAAGTTTTTTTTGGTTGTGGGACATGCCTAGCATGCAGAACAACAAGAAACCCCAAAAGACATATAAAGAATCTTAAAGAATATATGGATATTAACTTTATTATAAAAGACCAACTAACCTGCTTTTCGAAAGGAGTCATTTATCAGTTGAAATGCTCCTGTAATCTACTGTACATAGGTAGGACTATCAGAAGCCTACATGTCCTGATATCCGAACACGTTAGGAATATTAAAAAAGGTGTAGAAACCCATAGTGTTTCTAACCATTTTAAAATTCATCACAACCTCAACCCAGAACACATTTTCTTCTGCCCACTAAAAATTGTTAAAAAGGATTGGAGAGGTGGAGATTACACTAAAAAAATAGGTTCAGAAGAGATGAAATTTATTTTTAATTTTAATGCTTTGATTCCCTATGGTCTTAATTCAGACTTTGAGATTTGTCATTTTATCGAATCTTAATATGCCAGGGTTTTAACTTTTTATTGCTATCATTTTTTGTTATCAATTTTAGGTTTTATTTCCCCTTTTTACATAAATTTACCACCTTTTGGGCTTCCACTTTATGTACAACACATCTAATATTTAATGTGTGTATCAATTTACTGTCACCTATGTCACTTAAGACATACAACACACCTATTTAGGTTTTATGATTGTATTAAAGATTGTTCACATTTTGGGCTCTTACCTTATATACAATATATTTAATATTTTATGCATGTATTAATTTACTGTCATCCATGCTATGTAGGATGTACAGCATGTCAGTATTTGGTGATCCTTAAATATTGATAGTTATGGCTCGCTTCAGGTATGATGTGGACCTTTACCGACAAAAGGTCACTCCGGGTCATTCTAAGCTTAGTGTGTCTCTATGCAATCTATAGCTGTATACGGAGCAGACCCTTCCATTCCCAAATTATTTATAAATACAGTTTTCCTTAACCATTCTAGATGATAACTTGTCTATCACTAAAATAATCCAGTGTCTGAAGACCCAAAAGGCACTGTAATAATATTGTAATAAATGAAACAATGACTCAAATAAATATAAGATAAAAGTGTATTGAATGAATGTTACAGAATGCAAAAATAGTCAGTAAATAATTAATCTTACCAAATGTATTAGTGGCTACAGCATATGTCCCTGTATACCTTTCAGATGTGTGGTGACAGCAGGCAGAGTAAGAGTAGATGAATGAATGACAACGTCACACTCTTTCTCCTTCAGTTAAATAGCCATTTTGTCCTCCATAAAGCAGCCCCCACCTGTGTAATACTCCCAAAAAGGTTTTCTAACTTGTTGCATGATGTAATGTATTGAATATCTAAGTTTGGGATATACCCTAGATGGCTCTGCCTATAGTTAGCTTCAAAATTAAGTGAAGTGTTTTGTATAAATTTGACTGACAACACATGTGTTTGTTCTAAATTAACTTCAACTTTTTAGCGGTTAACCTTGTGGAAATGTCATTGAAAATTTAACTTTTTCAAATCTAAGCAAAAAGGCCTGCAATATTTCATACACCTATTTTATACAGTTAAATGTACATTCATATTAGATATATATATGCACCATACCATATGATACATATATATATTGCAAACTACACATTAAATAATGATCAACACTCCACACAGCATACCTATATAAGTTCTATGAATGTATTGAAGACAGTTTATACTAAGTATGTCCGCAGTGGAACGCATAGATTCGGAACTATGCGTTCCAGTGACGCCTTCTGTGCGCCCTGCAGACAGGGACCGGAAGTGATGCGCACAAAGTCGGCGGTGGAACGCACACACGGAACAGCTGAGAAACCCGGAAGTGGAAGGGAAATGCACTATATAAAGACGCCAAGGAAGCCCCCACTAATAATACTGACTGATACCAACTGAGGAAGCCACCACCATAGGGCGAAACGCGTTTTGGACATATACAGTCTATTACAGACTTTTTATTCTATATCAGCACCTTGATTGGAATTTTTTCCATTTTATTTGGCATACCATTTTCTTTCATCAATAAAGTTTCCTTCTTTTTGGGACAACATATTGGAATACTGCAATCTTCTTTTGTCATCTTCCAACTACCCAAGAAAGAATAGGAAGAAGGATGGGGACATCCTACTAAGAGTCCCACTACGCTTCACATAAGAGCCATATGTTATACTGGCTCTGGGCTTGTGAGTACCATTGCTCTATTGCCATCTATTATACCTTTACCTAACAGTATTATACTATGATATTCTGTTTGATTTTGTAGAATCGTCAGATGTGTGTTCCACCTATTGTATGTATTCACGTAATTTAAAGGCCTGCCATGTTTTGTTGGTAATTCCAGTTAGAGATGATTGTATTTTTTCTTTTATTTTTAACACTTCAAAGCTTTTACTAAGCATTCTAAGCACTATAAACTCTACACCTCGCTGTAAGCATTGTATACTTGGTTTCTTTCAAATTGTTTTCAAGTGGTTTGATAATTTATTCGTTTGACACCTAAAGTCAAGCCAATCTGCTGTGGCTAGGATAATACAAGAGCAAACTTCTGCTTTATCAATCTATTGTATATAATATTTATATCAATGGATGCCTAGTGTTAGGCTGAGGATATCGACTGATGCTCCTATATACTTTAAGCTTCTTTGAGCAGGGTCCTCTTTAACCTATTGTGTAAGTTTTATTGTAATTGTCCTATTTATAGTTAAATCCCCCTCTCGTAATATTATAAAGCACTACAGAATCTGTTGACGCTGTATAAATGGCAATAATAATAGCCTATCAGTGGCTGCCCAACTAACCCTTCACATTCTGCAATGCAGAGATGCTAGAGTTCCAACTTCAGGGCTAAACATTTGCCAAATACTTTAACTCCTGAAGATAAGATGCCTGGGCACCCCTACCCTCCTAACAACCTTAATGAGCTAAAGTTATCTGGGTGTTATTTTAAAGGGACTCTCCAGTGCCAGGAAAACAATCAGTTTTACTGGCACTGCATGTCCCCCCACTCCTCCCCCCACCACCCTTCCCCGGTTTTCACCCCTTCAGTGACTTACCTGAGACCCCCGCCGATGTCCTTCAGCATTGGTTTTGGGTCGCCACCGCTCCTCCCCTTCATCAAGTCAGCAGGCGGGGGAGACTGATCCCGCCCGCCGGCTGAGGAGACCTAATGCGCATGTGCATTAGAGAGCTCTAAATAGGAAAGCATTGAAAATGCTTTCCTATGGGGATTTGAGCGACACTGGAGGTCCTCACACAGCATGAGGATGTCCAGCGACGCTCTAGCACAGAAAACCTGTGCTATAGACATGGAAGTGCCCTCTAGTGGCTGTCTAGTAGACAGCCACTAGAAGAGGAGTTAACCCTGCAAGGTAATTATTGCAGTTTATGAAAACGGCAATAATTACAGTTGCAGGGTTAAGGGTAGTGGGAGTTGGCACCCAGACCACTCCAATGGGCAGAAGTGGTCTGGGTGCCTGGAGTGTCCCTTTAACATTTAAGTCCAGGGTTGGAAAAACTTGTGCATGTCCAAGCCACAGCAGAAAGGGCACACATCAGGTTCCAGGTAATTCCTATTCATACTGCTCAAACTGTTAAACATAATCACAGCAGTGAACTCTAGTTCTGGTGTTTAGAATGTTCCTTTAAAATGGTTTTGTTTTTGTTCACTGTTTGCCTGTTGCAAAATAGTTTGCTGCGTAAAAAAAGGTTTGTTGTGAATTGATTATTTTATTATTTATATAGCGCCAGCAAATTCCTGTGCTCTGTGAGCACAAGAAGACTCCTGTCTGATGTAGCAAAGCACGTTTTCTGGAGTTTTCCCATGCATTCCTGTTTTTCAGAAGCTGTCTATATAATGAAAGGTTCTGGAGTTTTCATGTTCAGGAAGTAGAGTAGCTTTTCTGACCCACCCATACACATTGGTTATAGGCCCCTAACAGCATGTGCAAACACATATTTGTTCTTGGTAAATTCACTTCTGTGAGACGTTTCATCCCCTTAATTGACGTGCAGTTGGGACCACAAATAGATCTTTAAAATGGATATAAGTGACCTGACTTAGCTGAGAGTGCATGGGAAAGCAGCCATTTGGAGTGGGTCTGCTGAGAAAAGTTTGAAATTCCATGACTTAGGCTAATTTGTTTTCCTTGAGTCTCTTGGGAATTCTGACTGCAGCACATGATGGGATACAGTTGGAAGTTTAACCGTGAACGACAGTAGTTTACAGTTATGGTTTATTGGATCTATTCCAGATGTTTCTTTCTGTTTTTGACCATGTATGGACACACTAAATGCTATACGTCATATGATTTAGAATATATTGCAAGAACATTACAGATAAAATGCCTCCCTTGTCATGCATCTCAGTGCTTTTAATGTTTTCAGGCTTAGCCATTCAGGTTGCTTTATTTGTATACAGAACTACTTTAACAGTCACACGGATAAGTCATCTAATTATGTTAGTTTTTTTTTTGTCTCCGTTTGATCCCCCACTCGTCCCCCATAGACGTTTGGCATGTTGCAGTGTCTGTTGCCAGTTCTCTTTTGATTTTGTTTGAAAACTAGTACAATCTTTAGTAAAGCTTTATAGTTCTTGTCAGTCATCTCGGCTTACAGAATCTATAGTAAAGCGGCCAAATGAGTCTGGTCAATCTGTTAATTCATCATATTTATAAGTTCTATTAGCTTCCATTAACAGGTAGCAAATGGCATTTTCATTTCTGCCAGGACTGTTATAAAGTGGCAAAATACAGAGTTGGTACCCATTAATATAAAAAAATATAGTGTTAATCTAAAATCTTGCTAGGCTTTAAAACCGTGTGATATCTGTTTATCAAATATGTACTTTGAACCAAAACGACATTCTCTGCCAAGCTGGTTTCCATATGATAAAGTGTGTGACAGTGAAGTTGTTAATGCAGCTGCTTCCATAAACAACATTGTATTATTGACTGGGTATAGAAATAACCTGGATCCTTTAAAATGTAATTTGAAGATGTGCCATCCACAAAACCCCTCCCCGTCTCCCCTCCCCGTCTCCCCTCCCCGTCTCCCATGCGCTCCCCCTCCTAGTGTACTGTGCGTACAGCATTTCTTGTGCCCCCTCGACAGATGCTCCTGATTGGCTGGGTCGCAAGTTTGACATGCTTGCCTTAAAAGATCTTGTGTTTTCTTGCTGTGTTACGTATGATTGTATTTTGTACATGCCTCACAGTAGAAAAGTCTCCACACAGGCTTATTAGTAGAGGTATAGAGCGGATGCCATGTAACTACCCCTGGATGTTGGGCTAAGGCAGGGGTAGTCAACCTTTTTCTACCAACCGCCCACTAATGCATCTTTCTTGATGGAGTTTTTTTTTTTTTTTTTACTCTCTTCTATTTTTTTTTACCTTCCTTAAAGCAATGCCCAGCAGGAAGGCTGAGCTAGGTAGCCCACTTACTATTATTAGCCAACAATAATTCTCTCCTTTTCCTTTTTATATTTTTTATTTTCCTTCTTTCTCATTTTTAACAAGTACTCTGCTCCTTCTTTCTCCTATTCTACAAGTACTCTGCTCCTTCTTTCTTTCTTTCTTCGGTTCTACAAGTACTCTGCTCCTTCTTTCTTCTATTTTACAAGTGCTCTGCTCCTTCTTTCTTCTATTCTACAAGTAATCTGCTCCTTCTTTCTCCTTTTTTACAAGTAGTCTCCTCCTTTATTTTAATTTTTTAATTTTTTTTTGATCTTTTTGTTTTTATCTCCTTTTTTTTTTTAATGCTTTTCTTTTACCTTCCTGATTGCAATGTACAAAAGAAAGGCTGATCTAGTTAGCCCACTTATTATTAGTCAACAATTCTCTCCTTGTCATGCCTATAACTTTTCTTTCTCCTATTTTACAACTTCTGCTTCTGCCTGTCCCTGCTATCGTGCATCAGCTCCCACTCCTCCCTTTCTCTTCCCACGTGTTTCACGCATTCTCGCGCGCGTTCGTACTTTTGTGTGCACTCGCGCCCACCCACCCTCTCAAAAGGAGGATTTAGCATTTTAGCTTGTTGTGCCGCCGAAATCCCTACTGCCCACCTGGAATCCTGAAATGCCCACTAGTGGGCGGTAGGGACCAGGTTGACCACCCAGGACGTACTTGAAAACCAGAGTAATCTGAATGTACCTTTCCTGGTTAAATACTTTATTATTTGAAAGTGGCACATTTGTTACTACATGAACACAGAGAAGCTGATGTGAGCAATTAGTCTGTACTAATAATTCCTAAAATAATTGCACTATGGCACACCTATTTCTTTTTTTCTTAGCCTTTGCCAACAACTTTTAAACATTGTTTCAGCGTTTCTACCCTGAATATTTTATACATATTTCTAACTAAATTGACTTAAAGGGACACTATAGTCACCCAGACCACTTCAGCAGTCAGGTCCCTCTAGGGTTTACCCTGCCTGATGTAAACATAGCAGTTTCTCTGAAACTGCTATGTTTACATCTGGTGTTAAGCCTGCCTCTAGTGGCTGTTTTCCGGACAGCCACTAGAGGCGCATCGGCAATGATTGAGGCATATTATGCCTCAATCACACAGAGCATCCATAGGAAAGCATTGAAAAATGCTTTCCTACGGACACTTTGAATGCGCGTGCGGCACTGCCCCGCATGCGCATTCGGCGCCGCTGACTTCGGCGGGGGAGGAGAAGTAAGGGAGCCTGGCGGGGGAAAAGGGTGAGTAGCTGAAGGGGTTAAAACGGGGACCCTGAGGGTGGGGGCACACACAGGATACTATAGTGTCAGGAAAACTAAGCGGTTTTCCTGACACTATAGTGTCGGTTTGCCTTTGCATAAAGCAAAAAAAAAACTTAAGAACTGCATTCAGCCTACTACATCCTAATAGTCAATGTGTTTATGGAAAACTTTGAGGTGGCGTGAGGAACACCAGTATGCTAGAACACACTCATTGGAATCCACTGGTCTAAATGCAGTCATGCAAGCAAACTCTTGGTTCAAAGAGAGATAAACTACCTGCTGGTAAGAGAGTTCAATGATTAGTTCTCTTGTTGCAGTATCTCTGGAACTGTCCTCAAGCTGCAGATTTCATTCCCACCGGGGTGACCTCACATTTAATCTATCTGACTTTGATAAAATGACACTATATTCAGTGATGGCTTTTGATAGTTTTCAGATGATTTCTAATGTCTTTCTTCCTGGCGTTTCAATTGCTGGATAATTTGTAGGTGGCCTAATATATACAGGTATCTTGCAATTATAGGTTCAAGGTTTAAACATAATGACATGTATTCACAGTATATCCTTTTTTTCTTATTAGGTTGAACAGTCAAAGGTTCTAATCAAAGAAGGGGGAGTCCAGCTACTTCTTACAATAGTAGATACACCTGGATTTGGAGATGCAGTGGATAATAGCAACTGGTAAGCTTTGTTTTATTTTGGTGTTTTTCGTCTGATTCTGTAGTTAATTTATTTAGTGGTTGTTGCCATACTACTTAAAATTGATTTTATTTATAGGAATACTCCAACCCGTTATGGTACCCTGGCACTCTCCCAAGATAAGTAGTCAGACTATTTGCAAATGGTTTGGGAACTTTCCAGCTGTGTACATCTTTTGCAGTCAAAAGCTCTATGGTTCAGGGTTTGCTCATTGACTGAGAGCACTCTGCTGGCACTCTAATCCAATGAGCTGGCCTTGCATTGCAGGGATTAGCTCGTTGGTGCTAAAGGGACTTTTGTCCACAGGAGGCAGATACTGGTGCCTGGAGGACCCAGGTAAATTTTTAAACCGTTTGCAAAGCGACTACTTACTGTGGACAGGACCAGTACAGTGTTTGTCCCTTGATTAAAGAAACTCTCTAAGCATCACAAAGGGGAAAAAAGAGCCTCTTCTATGTATTGGATCATTCTAGACTTTGTGATTTGAGGGTATTTTTTTTTCTTCTCATTTTAACTACAAATCTTAATAAACTACCCTTTATGATCAAAAAAGGTTTGATTTTTAACTAAACTGTAATACTTTGTCACTTTGTTGCTGCTTTGTCTCTGCTGTGTAGATGTTACTCTTCACTAGCTCTTTTAGATTGATCTGTTTCTACATTTCATGCAATTGTTAATTTTTATTATATATATATATATATATCTATCTCTATATGTGCGTGTGTGTATATGTATATGTGCGTGTGTGTGTGTGTATGTATGTGTATGTGTGTATGTGTATGTATGTTTGTAGTCTTTAAAACAGGGCAGCAGCCCCGGGCCCAGTTACTCCTGGGGGGACCCTCTTCCCTCAATAAAAAAAATTCCCGTCCTCTAAGCAGTCCCACCGGGTGGCCCATGCACTCATGGCCACCCGGTGGGCTTGTCTCGGCAGGGGCCTGGCGATAAATATATATGGCTACCCAGTGGGCTTGTATCAGCAGGGGCCTGGTCGGGCCCTGTGGCCCATTAACAACGCAACCAGGCCCCTTGGCTTTTCGTCAGCATGAGACGAAGGGACAGCCGCAAGTCACTTCCTCCCATAAAGAGGAGCAGCGCAGGAGGGGGCAGGAGTCGTCGTGTGGGAGTAAGGAGGCGGCGGCGGCAGTGAGGATGGAGGCTCCTCACTCCCATCAGCCTCAGGCACCACTGGACCCCAGGGAAGCCACCCTCCAGGAAATGGTAGGAAACTGGAGGGTGGGTTTAAAAAGAAAATTTTTGTCTGTCTGTCTCTCTGTCTGTGTCGGTCTCTCTCTGTCTGTGTCGGTCTCTCTCTGTCTGTGTCGGTCTCTCTCTGTCTGTGTCGGTCTCTCTCTGTCTGTGTCGGTCTCTCTCTGTCTGTGTCGGTCTCTCTCTGTCTGTGTCGGTCTCTCTCTGTCTGTGTCGGTCTCTCTCTGTCTGTGTCGGTCTCTCTCTGTCTGTGTCGGTCTCTCTCTGTCTGTGTCTGTGTCGGTCTCTCTCTCTCTCTGTCTCTCTGTCTGTCTGTCTCTCTGTCTGTCTGTCTCTCTGTCTGTCTGTCTCTCTGTCTGTCTGTCTCTCTGTCTGTCTGTCTCTCTGTCTGTCTGTCTCTGTCTCTCTGTCTGTCTGTCTCTCTGTCTCTGTCTGTCTCTCTGTCTGTCTGTCTGTCTGTCTCTCTCTCTGTCTGTCTGTCGGCCTCTCGGCCTCAACATTAAATACAGATACACCCCTCCATTCATACTTCAACATTACATACAAACACACCTCTGTGTTAAACACCACAATTATATATAAACAAAACCCCTACATTCAAAAACCAACACTACACATAAATGTACACTTGCATTTCAACCTCAACACCATACAGCCTCAACACCATATACAAATGCATTCACACAAACATACTCCTGCATACACATGCTTATATTCAAACACTGCTAAATACAACCCTGCAAACATGGGAAATTGGTAGAGCCACAGCTGTCAAAAGAATATAACTTTTATTGATCAGGTTGCTCATATTTGGCAGAATTACAATAATATTGTTCCCTGGGTTTTTTTGTTTCCCTGCAGTTGGCAACCGGTTATTGACTATATTGACAGTAAATTTGAAGACTACCTTAATGCAGAATCCCGCGTGAACAGACGCCAGATGCCAGATAATCGCGTGCAGTGCTGCTTATATTTCATCGCACCCTCAGGCCATGGGTCAGTATTCAAAATAACGCTGAATCTGTCTGTGTGTAAGTGTATGCTGATATCACTTCTGCTTTGCCATGCACAACTGGAGTTACATTGAAAGGTTCTCTGAGGGCTGTTTTAATCACGTTTCCTATACTGTTATATAATGTGGATAACATCAATGAACCATAAATGGAATGCTAAGCAGCCCATTATCAGTACTTCCTGCCCAAAAAAGCTTTACACCAACCATAAAAATTTAAATATAAACCCTTCAACAACAGGGGGTTTCAAGAAGAGGGACAGTTAATATAAAAATACTTTTTTTTAGAACTTATTAAAATGTGTTCACATACTCAAAACAGGTTAGGCAGGTCTATACACCTACATTCAGATTATAATTTATGCTGAACATTCAGAGGCAATAACAGTAGCAGGGTATAGCTACAGTGTACCAGTGCCACACTCTTTAGGCAGCTGCATTGTATAAAACAATCACTACCTCCAAGAAAGGTAGAATAGAATTAGATCTCTGTATATATGTAGCTGTACACCGTGCATGTCAAACAGGCCAAATAAATAAGGTTTGTTTATGTGGGCCGCACAAAAAAAACAAACTTAAATTTTCACAGAAACTTTGGTTTATTTCTGAAAAGTACAGTATATAAAAAAAAAAGCATCCCCCTCTACTAAATCCCAGTCTTGTCCCCCCCCAAATATACTAAATCCCAGTCCTACACCATATACTAAATCCCAGTCTTACACCATATACTAAATCCCAGTCTTACACCATATACTAAATCCCAGTCTTACACCATATACTAAATCCCAGTCTTACACCATATACTAAATCCCAGTCTTACACCATATACTAAATCCCAGTCTTACACCATATACTAAATCCCAGTACACCATATACTAAATCCCAGTCCTACACCATATACTAAATCCCAGTCCTACACCATATACTAAATCCCAGTCCTACACCATATACTAAATCCCAGTCCTACACCATATACTAAATCCCAGAACACCCCTCTAGCCAATAAGCTGACTCAACTTACATTGCCGCTGCCAGTATGCGACTCCAGAGTCCGACCTCTGGTATACCTCAAATGGCGCCGTCCGCACCCTGTGCCAAAGTGGATCCTCTAGCTACTTCTCGAAACCCTGTGAAGATGGAGTACGTTGGAATGTGACGTGGTGCTGCGTGCCTCTGTACACCTTCAGGTTTTCCACTGTCCAGCCGCAGCTATTGCAACATTGACACACACTGACAGACGCACACTCGCTGGCATGCGCACTCACTCAAATCATTTTATTTATTGCTCCCTACCTTCGGGAGCTGGTGTGGGGATCTTCTGTTTGGAGATCTCAGTCTTCCTGCTCCCTCACGCGTGCCTTCTCTAGCGATATTCCGGCACGCACGAGTGAGCAGTGAGGAGCAGGAAGACTGAGCTCCTCCAGCGATATGAGTCCCGGCCAGGTAAATTTTAGCAATGGAGGCACCTGCAATGTAACAAGCTCAAAATGAGTATGCCATGGACTCTCAAGGCTTGCAGTGGTGATTTTGATGCCTGCCACGTAGCATAGGACTTGAAATTTTAAAGGGACAATATAGTCACCAGAGCAACTACAGCTTATTGTATTTGTTCTGGTGCGCATAATCTTTCCCTTCAGGCTTTTTGTTATAAAAACAGTTTTTTTTATTTTATTTTTCAGAGAAAAGTGTTTACATTACAGCCTAGGGATACCTCAACTGGCCACTCCTCAGATGGCTACTAGAGGTGCTTCCTGGGTCAGTGCTGCATAGGGTGCAGCACTGACATTCAGTGTCTCCACCCTTTGCATGGAGACAATGAACATTCCTCATAGAGTTGCATTGATTCAATGCATCTCTATGAGGAGATGCTGATTGGCCAGAGCTGTTTTTGGCTTGTGCTGGCTGTGCCCGTGATCTGCCTCCTTGACAGTCTCAGCCAGTCCTATGGAAAGCATTGTTTGGCTTTTGATTAACACTTCTGATTATGTCAGTCAAGCAGGCAGATCAGGGGCAGAGCCAGCAGAAGACAGACTGGAATAGAAGTAATATTTTATTACATTTAGGAGTGCCAGGAAGGGGCTAGATGGTATTTTTGAAACTCTAAGGTCAGGAATACATAGTTGTGTTCCTGACCCTATAGTGTTCCTTTAAGCCTTGCTAAATGCATCTTTGGGAACAAAGACCTACTTATAACTTGCCCTAAATCTCCAGCATTATAAAACACTGCGTGCCTTGGGTATAACTTCCACTTGCAAATTTTAAAGGCCAACAAATTAAAGTGCAAAAAAAGAAGTGTAATGCATTATAAGAATAAAATATGAATGACACCCTCTTGATTATTTTTAAACTTCAAACATTTTCCACAACATGTTAGTTTTGACATTGGAGATGTATAACAGCAAATTGTTAACAGTATCAAAAGATAAAGAGGGTCCTACCTAAACAAGATTCCATAAGACAGGACCTATGTCGTTGCAGAGAAAAATGTAAAACACTTTCTCTTTAACATTGTATATATTCAGCTTGCATGGAACGCTCTGCTACACAATATGAAAACAGTTTGTTCTGTATTTGCTAGCCTCTTTTCGTAACAGTTTTTTTTTGTTTGTTTTATTTACAAATTTTCTGCATCTCAAACTAGTTAAAACTGTCACAGATTTTTGTTAATTTTAAGTTCTATTTTGCTGTAATATGTTCTTATTATGACTGTTTCTCTGTGGGAACAGCAGAAGACAAAGGAAAAAAACATGAGGCAGTGGTACACTGGCTGACCTTAAACTTTTAGATTGCAATATTCTCCAAATTCCTTTGTCAAGAATGTAACATTATCACTGTTAGCAGCACAAATTGTACATTTTATCTCCAAGGATAAGAGGAATAATTTCCTAAACAAGAGTTCCCAAGCCAGTTAGTAAAAAGCATGCATTTTTCAAAAAGTTGTGCAACTTTTTAACTCATTAACGCTCTCATTTCTGTCCTGGAGAGTTAATGCATGTTTTTTTTGTAAAGAGCCACTTGATTAAAGGGACACTCCACTGCCCAAATAAATAAAAATCACTGTTTAGTAGATCTACACCAAACGAAAACTTGCATGCTTCGAATTATGCATTTTTTTTTTCATTGGAGATCTCTTGTCTGCTGCCTTTGCAAACCCTCCTCTTCTAACATCGCCCAGACTTTTTGTGGCTGTCCAATCATAGCATTCTCAATGTAGCTCTATAAGAAGTCTTGGCAAGGCATCTCTGGGCAATTGCTGCCTCTTGAGTTTAGTGCAAATCAGCTATCCAAAACATGAAGTAACAAGACATGTTGTCCAAAATGAGATAAAGAAACATAGTCTTCACTTATAAAGTGCTTTAGGGATCTGGACTGTCCCTTTAACACATCTGTCAAATTGTTGCCTGGTTAGGAGATAGGGATTGCTCTTCCTCTTTTTAGCACTGCAACCTCTGCTGGCATGTCAGAACTGTAACCTTTACAAAACAAAAATCTTAATTTGGTGTGGAAAAAAAAATCCATAATTGCATGAGATGAGAACCTGTTTCGTCTTCACTTAAAATGAAAAAATGTAAAGAGTCCCTGATTTATTTATATATATATATATATATATATATATATTTATATATATATATTACAATGTTAAATAAAAATAGGTGTGACCTATATACCATAACCACTTAATTAACCTAAAGTTGTTTTGGTGCCTTTAGTGTCACTTTAACTTAGAACAAGCACATTACTTGCAAGCTACTTTGCTTTTGCAACATGGCTTAATGAAGGTGTTTTGCACAATTATATTAACTTAGGATATTTCACAGTATAATGACTAATGCTGAGTATGGCACTAGTGCTTTTCAGAAGGAAAAAAAAAAATATATATATATATATATATATATATTTTTATTTTTTATTTTTTTTTATATACTTTGCGTAGATGGCAGTTCATGAGAAGCAAGATTCAAAGGAACACTCTAGCTTAATTTTAGTTAGATGTGTTCTTTCAGTGTTTTAAATGGAGATTCTATTTAATGGTTACCCTGCTTTAAACACCTGTAATCCCGCGCTGGGACAGTCTCTTTTGTGCAGCCACTCTACCTTGTCTCATAACCGCAATCACCATGGACACAAATGAACTTCCATTGGTGACTCCTCCCTATTATATATTTGCACCATTTTGTAGAACAAAAAATTAGGGATTGTGGGGGGAGAGAGGGGTAGAGAAGTTGGCTAGAGTAGATAAAAAATAAAGCTGGAAAAATAGCATCACTTCAAAACTTTTGCTACTTCTTTGGCCTAAATTCACTTGCTACTTCATTCTACCTGGTTTAGTAAATAAACCCTAAAGTATCTGTTCTTTCATTCCATCGAAACTAAGCAGATCAATATAATATTTTGGAAGGCTGGAAGCACTTATATTTCCTGTGCAAGAAGCCTTTTGGCTCCTCTTATGCCCGATTACTGTTCCATTAGTAATGCATTTGTGTGTCTTAGTTACCACCAGGGGTTTAGACGACTTTTCCAACTCTTAATAGTATGTATTCTATTTCAGATAAGCCATTAGCAGCATATTTTAGATGGTCCAAAGTTCTCCAAATGAACCAAACAATTTTTTCTATGCAATTTTAAAACCAATAAGTCATTTAAAGGTAAATCACTGTGAGACATACTTTTCATGGGCGTCCTAAATTTCTTTATTTTATGTTCTTTGGTAAATTCTGAGTTATTTGTTGCGAGTGGGTTAAAAAGTCCCAGCAGTAAGAATACAGTGTGTATGTGATTATATGAAATATGCTTATTACTTTATAAATTATATTTGTAAGAAACTTGTAAATGCATATATATGTGAAGTCTAGTACTCACCCATGCGCCTTGAAATTTTTTTCCCATTCTAAGTTCAGAAGAATTCACATATAGCTATCTTCCTTAGATTGTTAAGCTTGGTGAAGTGCAAGTGAACTGTGCACCAGTAAGATTTCATGGTTAAAGGAACACAAACAAGTATTCCTGACCCTATAGTGTTAAACCCACAATTTAGATGTCTTGCCCCTTCTTTCCCCCCTCCCCCCGTTAGTCTAATTAATAATAATTAAAACTTTTACCTTATTTGCAGCGTTGCACTGAATGCATCTCTATGAGGAAACTGCTGAACGGCAGTGATGCATACTGTGCAGCACTGCCCCAGGAAGCACCTCCAGTGGCCATGTGAGGAGTGGCCACTGGAGGAGTCCCTGGGGGGCAATGAAAACACTGCCTTTTCTCTGAAAAGGTAATGTTTGCATGAAAATGCCTGCAGGTAATGAGGATACTCACCAGAACAACTACAATAAGCGCAATAAGCTGTAGTTGTTCTGGGTACTATAGTGTTGCTTTAAGCTGAAGTCAGTTCAGACACCTAGGGGAATTTTAATGATGCTCAGCTAAAATGTGGTTTTTGTTGTTGTTTTTTGTTTGTTTTTGTTTTATTATTTTTCCAACTAGGATTGATATAGAACATGTAAAATTCACCTTTTTATGTGGATAAATATAAAAAAAAAAAATCTGGCTAGCTCATCAATAGATTGTCTGCCTCCCTCATTCTTTAGATATCTGTCAGCATCTGCTTTTTAGTGCTACTGCCTCTTTAAGGTTTAGTATTACAGCAGAGCTTAGGAATGTTGGCGCTTATATTATAAATGTAGCATTTGCATTCTTACCACAGGAAACTGCAAGACACAGAGCAGAGTCTGGCAAAATAAAGCACATTTCTGTATGCATGGCGGCTTAGGTTAGAGAATGTCAGATGGCTTCCTGTATTCACTGTGACCCATATCCTGCTGTTTCGTGTAAAGGACTTTTTTTCTTCTTAAATATTTTAGTAACTTATTCTTTATAGGTGTATGCTTAGTTAAGTATAAACTGTTTTACTTTGCATGCTTAGTTGAGTATAAACTGCTTTACACTCATCAGTCATTAATTTATTGATACAAATGTTGATGTCCTCTCAAAGTCTGATCAGATGAGTATTTGGCATTGATGATATCCCGTGGCACACCTATGCCCTAGAAGTAAATGTTTGGAGGCAGGTGTAATTTTTAGCTCCATCAACTCTTAACAAACTGTTATATGCTGGATAACAGATTAAGGCGATTATCTTATTTAAGGCCACAAATAGAAGTCATTTTTTTAAATAAGTTTTTTGAAGTTTGTGGGTGGTGGGAACGATTTACAGACCCTTATGCTAAAGCAGAAATTAAAGTTAACCTGTCATGACCACTTCACTTCAATAGCATTTTCTTATGCATTAAATATCAAAATGATAAATTAAATCAAGACCTGTTGTGTAATACTCTGCTCCATTCCAGCAATAGCAACCGAGCCATCACTGCAGCTTCATTTGTGTTACTCTAATGTAACACCAACATTCCTTCGAATTGCCTTCTTTCCATTACTATTTTTAACTGTTTGTGAACACTTTCCCAATCAGGGCATTCCTCTTTCATGGCACAAATACTTTGGCTTCATTACGAGTGCATTGGCATCAGAACGGAGTGACATGTGTCAATGCAGTCCTATTTTCTCCCAGAGGGGAAGGCCCATAGCTTCATTTAGTTTATTTATTTTTTGTCTTGAATATCTTTTTCTAGCGATTTTTGTTTTAAATTTAATTGTAATTCAACTTATTTACTGTGATCGGTACACTTTGTCATACAAAAAAAAATATTGTTCAAATTGTACAGAAGTAAAACGGGGAAGCAAAGCCTATGAAGACATGGGTTGAATTTTTGAGAACTTCAGTTCATTCATAAAAACTCAATTTACTCAGCATTCTTGTCCATAACGTGTATCTTAATATCTAGCTAATTCAATCAAATGCCCCTTGTGTTTTATAATCTCAATAGAGAAAAAACTGAATTCAATTCAGTGATAGATATGGAAAGTAGATTCTTTGACATTTAGCAGTGCATTTTATATTTCACTGTGAGGTGTTTTAAGGGGTTATGTATAAAGCGCAATTCTACAAGTGGACCAATCAGCTGGAAATTAATTTGGCTTCCATAGTGAATTATTCATTATTCGCTAATTTGCTCGAGTGAACGTCCTTGCACAAAATGTTAAATTTTTGTATACTATTATGACAGCTTGATTGCAGAATGCAGATCAAGACCGTCACTACTCAAAACTTGTCACCACAAACATCCTAGACAGCTAGTGCAGTCCTTGAATATGATCTTTGAGGGCCACCAACAATCCCACTTCTAGGGCTTATGAGATTTTGTGTATAGGGGATAAAAACCTAGTTTTAGTGATCCTCGAGGGTTTTGTCTTCTCAAGCACTATTCTAAATGAATGTTGAGTTCTCAAATACATTAATAAGGACTAGCAAAAACTTGGTGTAAGTGAACAAAAGCAAAATGTCCTTCTGTCTCATTCAACCACCAGTCACTTTTGAATGGAATGCTGTTTGTTAAATGTTTTCTTCTCTCCCCTCTTTAGACTGAAGCCTTTGGACATCGAGTTCATGAAGCGTTTGCACGAGAAAGTCAACATAATTCCACTCATTGCCAAAGCTGATACTCTTACTCCAGAAGAATGCCAGCAGTTTAAAAAGCAGGTGAGATACCATCAATTTACAGAATGGTTTGTGTTATCTTATCTGGGAAATAGTGATACTATGTCTATAAGCATGGTCCATAAACTATTTCCAGTTTTAAGTACTGGAGGTATGTTCTCTATATGTAGTGAGCATGTTACAATTGTACCTGTGCAGAAATTTGTTTCAAACAGTTTGTCCAAATCACATTCCTTTTAATTTACACTTGGGCAAGTCGATCATCCAGGATTTACCTGTGGAGTATGTTTGGAAATTCTTGCTGCAGGGTATGATTTTTTTTAACTCTGCTGAAACTGTGTATAGATGGCGGAATTAAAGATGTAAAAAAATTTTTTATTTTTTTTAAATAGGATCTATGAAACAATTCTCTATTTGTAGAATTGTTTATGGTTCATATATTTAATTGAAAGATGAAGGTTATCTCAATTGTTTTTGAAATTATTAAAGACTTGGATGCATTTTGCGTCAAATAGGCTTTTCTACCAAATCAGCATTAAGTTTCTCTGACATTTGCTGGTTTTATTTTTACGTTTACAGTTTTTCTTTTTTGTTTTGCATTTTTTGTTAGGGTTTTATTACTATTGTCTTAACATATTTTTCTTACATCTTTTTGGATACTTACAGCATTGTCTTTTTTGCCATCAACTAAGCTACCATTGTCATACTCATTGTATACTCATTTCAGTCTTACAGAAGTGCCAAACAGTACTGTGGGTACCAAAATGGACCTACTGCTGTACACACACTGCCTTTGAAGGAGGTTTGATTTCATGAGCCTGCTATTGTCTTTTTACTCTTGGAGTGAAGCTTCTGCACTCTTTACAGTAACCATTCTCAATGTAACATTGACTTGAAGAAACAAGTGCACTTTTAGATTTAAAGGGAAAGTCTAGACATTAAAACCACTGCAGCGTAATGTGGTGGTCATCATGCTGAGATGCTGCCCTGCATTCTGACATATGTAAACATTGTCATTTCATAGAAATATAAGAAATGACAGCCAGTTAAAATGTCTCTGGTAACTGACAGATGATGCCGAGTTCCATGTAATCTCTGAGGAGATTCCCAAATGCTGCATATGCTCTTGAGGGCAGCACTGCTTCTTTAGTAGAAGCATTGGATTGTCCATAGATATGTCTGACTAATCTCAGGGGAAAGCAGAGAAGTGGATGTGGCAAGACCAGGATGCCACTGGATGAAATGTGAATGTCTTTATTTTTGTTTTGTTTTACAGGGGAGATTGAATCTACAGCTGGAGCAACACTCTATAGTTATAAATACAAATATGTATTTATTGCATTAGAGTAGCCCTCTAAAACATCAATATATTTGTTTTCCACGTTTTTGCAATGTAGCGTTCCATACTGGAAATATGGCTAGAAAATGTAAATCATGTAGGTGATTTTTTTATTTTTTTTGGTAGATAATGAAAGAAATCCAAGAACACAAAATCAAGATCTATGAATTCCCAGAGACAGATGATGAAGAAGAAAATAAGCTGGTGAAAAAAATAAAGGTTTGAGTCTTTGTCTCAAATGATTTGCTCTACCAATGTAATTCAATATGTAAATGAACGGAGTGTCTTGCAATGCTGTCCCATGCTAGAAGTGATTGGGTTCAGGGTAAACCACATGAGGACGTAATATACGTTTTGTTCTGTCAGAAATTTACTCAGCGTTTTCTACATACATTACTGTCAAGTGGATTTTACAGTAAACAAAATTATAGTAGCAGAAAGTCAAAGTGTACAATTCAGGAATTGCCTTTCTGAGATCTTCAAGTGCCCCTGTCGTGAAAAGATGTCATGGTAACACTTTATAGACATTAAATGTTATCTATGTATTGTTTTAACCAAATGCTGCTAAATATAATAGTATCTTTTTGCTGTGGAAGACTATAGCGTATCCATTGTTATAGCTCTGCTGGTAAGCCAGACATCTGCAAGGAATGCTGGTATTGTGGGATGCACGGATCTCTGAATAGCCGTAGAAGCAAGCCTCTGCTAAATTGATTTTAATATATACCTGTTGTTAATACCTCTGGCTCAATATATAGATAACATTAGACTCCTAATTTGACATGGGCTCCATAATTATTTTCTCCCTTTACTAATAAATGTGTCTCCATTAACACTGGCTTGCTCAACCATCCCCCAATCCTGACCTTCCACACTTTCATTTAACTGAGGTAGATATGGTCTTATACTCCTTTTCATGTACAGATAGGTTTTCATATCTGTATTATTAAACGTCTAACTATATAGTTGCCAGCTGGATAGATGGCTGTATAAATTGTGATATGTGTGAGCTGCTAATTTTTAATAAAGGCTATTGTCCCATTTACTGCCGGTGTAACATCAGCGCAAATAACCATTTCATAAACCTTTTTAGTCAGAAGTATACAGAAGTGAATCAGTTAGGGAATATCATTTGAGGGAAAGCTCAATTTTTGTAATGAATGCAAGCTGTGTAAAATTTATTGAATTATTGTATTTAATATTTAATTGGCATGTTACTTAATGCAATATACCTCAGAACAGCTGTCCCCAATCAGTACACCACCAATGTAGGTAAAATCTGTAGTGTAATTTACTCTGTGGTGATGTGAGGTGGTTCATAAACGTGCACCCAAAAGGACAAGATGCTGACCTGTTACTCTTCTCTTTTAGGACCGTTTACCTCTTGCTGTGGTGGGTAGCAACACGATTATAGAAGTCAATGGCAAGAGACTAAGAGGAAGACAGTATCCATGGGGGGTTGCAGAAGGTAAGATTTGATCTTGGGATGAAGATTTTTATTTCTTTTCTCTTTTACATTTTACATTGGGAATATTTTAGATTATCTCCTTGCATACTTTTTCTACTTTTGCTGTTGATCCAGTGCTTCTCTAGAAAACGTTTCCAGGGATATTAAGAGGAAAATATTTACTTCTGTTTCAGCAAGGAACACAAAAAGTACACATTCTTACTAGGTTTAAATCTTACTATTCTAAACAACTGCTAAATTTCCACACTAGATGTTGTCTTTCACTTTTGTTAAACTAGATATTTATGGTGTAGAATTCAAAGTCTCTGACAGTCTGAAGTTAGGTGTTGCTAAATTTGTGGTGATTTTGGAAAACTGGGGGGACAGGGACTCTACAGTGGTTTCATAAAATTCTCAACAATGCTACTTTAACCAGCGTGTCATAATACTTAGATTGTTTTCACTGGTCTCAGATAATGCCATGAGACCCATGCAAGTAAGCAGTTTTATTTTTTATTACAAATTGAAACCGGTCTAAAATAGGTATATGAAGCGTATTGGCTTGTTTTACTACTAATCAGGCAGGGCTCGACAAATCCAGGTTGCCGTGGCTACTAGGATTTTTGTCCTGGCGCCTGGAATTTGCTGGCCCATTTAGCCCCCAAGGTGGTCGGCTGCCTATGAGTGCTTACGGGCGGCCCATAAAGCTTACGGGCGGGCGGCCCATAAACAGTGTTGTGCACTGTATAGCACTGACCCAGGATGCACTCCAGAGGCCATCTGAGTGACTGTCACTAGAAGTGTTACTAAGCAACAATGTAAATATTGCCCTTTTAACTGAAAAGGCAGGGTTTGCATTGAAAAGTGTGCAGGGACAGGTTATAGAAACAAGAACTACATTAAGTTGTAGTGGTTCTGGTGACTATAGCGTCCCTTTAAGAATTGCGTAGTTTATATTGAAATGCCTGGCTCCTAACTTTATTTGACTCCTAGATTCCAAGCAAATTTGTAAAGCCCTGTAATGAGGTATTATTTTGCATAAGTATTGTAAAATATGTACATTTTCAACTGTCTGCATCTGTTTTAAGTAGACTTGAATATTTACTCTCACGCAGTATTGTATGAATGTAGATATCATAGACCAAAGTTTTTATCCTCACTACAGGTTTATTAATTTATTGTCTACTCTAGAGCATGGCATTTTAAGCAGGGATATCCTTTTGTGTATTATAGATTTCAGTACACATTTTCATCCATTAAACCAAGCACAGTGATTGGAGTTTCATCATAGTGGTAGCCATGCTTACTCAATCACAGATGCTGCTGCACCTCGTAGTAACAAAAAAACTGATCAGCAAGTGCAACGTTCTGGCTTTATTTGTGATAGATTTCTATTTAGTCCATCAAAGTGTTGGAGGGAAAAGAACACAAAAATTTGAAGTGCTTTGGCTCTTTGATATCAAACCGTCAGAAAACAGAGCTTTGGCATTGAAAATGAAGCAGCTGCACTAAAAGAAAGGATCTCTTCAAATTGTGCTTCAGTTTGAGCAACTCTACGTTCTCCTTCTCATGCCACAAAGGCATAATCCGATATTGAAATAGCTGAAACCCACTTGATTCCCCAACTGCCAAAATGTCCTTGTAATGGAATACAAAGGATTTCTGTTTACTATGCCATTAACTTTTAATGCCCCTTAATTCCTTAAAATGTATAATGAAATGTTATGTTTGTAACTGGTCCAAAAGAAACTTTGGTTGTAATTGTGTGATCCTAGATGTATTTATGTAGTTATATTCTTCTTGTGTATAACTTCATAGTTCTGAGAAGTGGTTAAAGAATTCAACTTTTTTTATTACGTTGAAATTTTACTGGAAAATGGCAGCTTTGTATGGAGCTCTGTGTTAATTAAAACTGAATCAAAGGAAAGTGAAACATTTTCTAATGTGAGGAACATGAATTTACAACTAAGAATAAGAATGGTTCCAAACTACAAGCCCTTCTAAGGAATCCATGCAGTTTCCAAAACATTTTATTCAGGAATGTAAATGGGCAGCATTCCAGACGAAACCTTATTCATTTTGCACTATTAAAGGACCTTTGCACATGATTAATATAATTCCGAACATAATTTCATTCATCCAAAGGAACAATATAATGTTAGTTAAGAATACAAAGTTGAATTCCTAACCCTGTAGTTGCCTGCTGCTCCCACTTCCCCACTGGCCATATAAAGGGTTAAAAAAAGCCCTTTACTGATTCTAGCATCAATGTTCCTCGCCATTGGATTGTTTTAAACTCCTCCACCGATGGCAGTGCAACTCGGGAACCTAATGCACATGCGTGGCGAGTGCATTAGTCCTTCCCTATAGGAAAGCACAGACTCAATGCTTTCCTGTGGGACTTTTCTGCACGCTGGACGTCATCATTCGAAGTTTGGGGATTTCCAGCATTGTTTCATAGAGTCAAACTGCAGGAAGCACCTCTAGTGGTTGTCTGGTAGACAGCTACTACAGGCAGTTTTAACCCTGCAATGTAAACATTGTAGTTTCTCTAATCTGCAATGCTTTACGTTGCAAGATTAAGAGAACAGGGACACTGCACCCAGACCACTTCATGAGATGAAGTGGTCTGGGTGCCTATAATGCCCCTTTAATGAAAATCATCAGAAACTTCTGTTCGTCCCCAAATTCAAAGTGCTTTTAAACTATTAGTGTATCATATGAATGATTGGAATTTGTATCTGGGGTGTCACTTTAATGGGATTGCCTCAACAACCACAAAGGCAGCTAAACAGTCATTCTTTCCCCTCCCCCAGCCTATCCCCTTTCTTTCCCGTGTCTAGTTTTCCAAGAACAGATATCAGAATGAATGATGATCTACAAGCCCCTGTACAGGAGTCTATCATTTGATCTAGATAAATGAGAAGCAGTTCCCTTAGAATGTAATCATCTTTGGAAGGCCAATGCGGTAGAAACAGATGTCTGGCAGATGTTCCTTTATGTGTTCATTTCGCCCTTAGCACAACCAATAAGGGCTATAAAGGCTCTACACAACTTGGAGAAACCAGTCCTGCAACACATGATTTCTTGTGTTGAAATTGATTTTTAACATTTTAATCTTTTTATTTTATTATTATTTTTTTAAATGGAGGATGCAGATTTTGGTTTAGTTTTATTTTGGATTTGTTTGTACTGTAATATGAACAGCTGTACAGCCCCCTTCCTAATCAGTCTAAGCTGTTTTTTTAAATCATATTCTTTTGCATTACTAAAAGAAAAACACAGTAACTAATATTTCCAAAACTATTGCACTGATTTAAAAATGCAGTGTAGAGTGATATTCATACAAGTTTGCTCAAAGCCTCTCACTGCCCTCCAAGGTTAGACTGTTTCATACAAGTAATGTATGGGTGGCATGGAGAGGCCTGTTTGTTGTCAAACTGCTGCAAGACAATTAAACTTATGTAGTTTAAACTCTTGTGACACCCAGTTAATCACCATTTGTAAGGGTGTCTATATATTCTAGGCTGCTGTTTGTCAGTTGGTTTTGTATGTTTTTTTCCAAACTCTGTGGTCTTATGAAATCCGCAAGTAATTTTCTGCTTTGGCTTGCTTAGCATGCAACATTACCCGACTGTTAGCTGTAATGGTTTGTTAAAAATAATAAATGTGAATACAACAAATGTTAGTTCAGCAAAACATGACTATTTAGAATAAAAGCATGTATGAAAGAAGTACTATATTTGTATTTTCTAATCTGAAAATACTCACCGCTTCCTTAAAACTGTGGCATTTACGTTAAAATTTTTTCCTTCTGTTAAATTTTTGTACTGTACAGTTGGCAAATGTTTGTCTTACCATGGCCTGAAATCTATTTTTTTCTCTTTGTGAGACAAGGATTTTGCTATGCTATAGTATTCTGAATAGAGGTTGACCACTTTAATGGTTTAATTTTCAAATACATGCCAGAGTATAGCTTTGGCTAGACTTGTTTAAAACAAGCAACGGTTATAGTTGTGTGCCCCCACACTGCACTCCGATATGAAACTTTAGTGGCCTCTATAAAATATCAGTGTCCGATTTGAATCTTTTTCAAATTATCTTATTTCCTCTTTAATTTTAGTTTAGTCACTTGAAAAATACAGCTGCTTAGTGTCTGTATATGGCTTTTTTTTTTTTTAGCCTTCTCCGAAATTGAGTTCTGCAAGATTTCTTTAAACTAGGTCTGTATAGTTATTATGATAATGTAACTATATAAAAGTTACCATTGTTATTATATAGTTTAAATTGTATTCATATGATTTCCCACTGAAAACAGCTGCTCAGAATTTTTTAACACCATGTTGACGTTTTATATTTATGCTCTTATGTTAATAGTGGAAAACAGCGAACATTGTGACTTCACTATACTGCGAAACATGTTGATAAGGTAAACTACATTCTTAATTTAGAAACATAGGAGTTTGTAAATTGTTTGGTGTGGTTGGAGGTGTTGGGGTGTGCATGGGGGAGGGGTGCGTGTAAGAAAGAAACACTCGCTGGGATAATTTTCAAAAATATATTCACGGAATAAACGTTTTGACAATATAATTTTATTTTTTTATTAGTCCAACCAGAAAACTTTTACTCGGGCACAGTGGTTTATTCTTCCAAAATGTTGCCTGAAATATTTGGTTCTATTATAATACATCATTCTTTTTACACCTGAAACTGATTTATACCAATATATCAGCACTTGCACATTGTGAAGCAAATATTTACTGCTTTACTTATTCATTTGGAAATAATGACCATAACAATACAGTTTATATTTTTCAAAGTAGCTGCTAGGTGTGTTTATAATTTGCCTCTGCAATATAATTCAGAACTAAATAGTTATTTTTGTGAGATTTTGCACAGTACAATCGTCGTTTGTGTTCTGTGTACTTTGATGAGGATCCTCTAGATCAAAATGTTGCCAGCTTTTTAACTGATTCAAATCGTACAAAAGAACTTTGTAGTAATGCATGTGTCCATTTGTGTATTGTGTTTGGAGTTGAACCCACATGCAAAAAGCTTTTGAAAACCATGTTAAATACAAGTGCAGCCTGCATATTTTTTAGCCTCCTTGTTGAGTCTGTTAATCATATTACAGCACACATACATACATTGATTGATGTCTGTTAGACAAAACATGCCAATACAGCAGACTAAGATCTGATCTCTCATTCCCAGAACTCACATGCAGGACCTGAAGGATGTAACCAATAACGTACATTATGAGAATTACAGGAGCCGAAAACTGGCAGCTGTCACTTATAATGGAGTTGATAACAACAAAAACAAAGGACAGCTAACAAAGTAAGTGACTTCATGATATAATGGTGTGCTGTTTAACATCACCTCCATGCCATATCATTACTTTTACCTTGCTCTACCTTCCTCCTACCACCACTCTGTACACATTTGTTTCAATCCATATATTGCCATTTCATAATTGAGATCTTTGTTAGATTTGCTGTAACAAAAGCCTTCAGTCTGAGCTTTTAAAGAATTTGGATGGGTTTCCAGTAGTTTTGGGGCAACATATGCATTATGCATATTGTTTTTTTGTTTTCCTTTTTCTTTTTTAGACATTCAGAGCAGTTTTTGAGGTGTTTTGATGTTAAATGCACCATGGTAAAACCATTAAACAGTTATAAAATTAACAATAACAAATCTCTATCATTGCCTTCTGTAATGCTGACTTTCCTTTACCTCCAACACATTACTCTTGCAGTGCATTTATAGCATTGAATTGTATTACATAGTTACATAGCTGAAAACAGACTTGCATCCATCAAGTTTAGCCTTTCTCACATTTTTTTTTTTTTTTTTGCTGTTGATCCAAAAGAAGGGAAACCCCCTAGTATTAAGTGCACATAATACTCTAATTTATAGGATTAGCAAAGCCTTGGATGAAAAACTATATGGCATTTTTTTTCTAATTCACAAAAAAAGCATGTAAAACAGAATTGGGGGTAAAATCATGGTCTAGTACATACATCCACTGTCCTCCCAATGGGGGAAATGCACATCCTTGCATTTAATTATGCATTTTTTTTCATATTAACAAAAAAAAAAAGTTGCAGATCTCGTTTGAAGCATTTGCATAACTGGTTATATTCTTGGAAAATTTACTGCTACCTGAAACAAGGTGATTGTGAACCTCTTTATAACGATATAAAGTATGTGCAGTACTTTATAAATGTTGTCTATTCACACAGAGTTAAAGTGAAATGAAAACCAAATTGCACAATTCGGGTAATTTAGCCAAGCTGTAATGTTAGCCACATTGAAGATATTTTTCCTAAATGGTATCTAAACTTTGCATTTTATCTTTCAGTTCACTATCATTTGGTGTTTAGTAAATAAACCGCCCTCTTTTTCTCTTGATACCAATATAAAATCATAAACCATTATTTATAACAGGGGTGAGTACAATGATCTAAGTTGAGTACTAAATATGCTAGGGTTGTATTATTCATAAATACAGATTTTGCCTTCATATTCAATGCTGTTCTGTTCCTTTGTAGGTAAAAAAACAAAAAACTTCTAGTTGTTGGAAGTAGGTCAACTATAATAAATTTAAATTGGGTTCTTGATGGTAAACTCCATGTTGCTGCAATGTGTGTCATTACATGTGACTGGTTTTGTGAGGAATGTGGAGTACAGGCTGGAGGAGGACTTGAAACAGTCCCTTCTCTGCTTTTCATTTAGTTCATAGGCTAGTAAGAATGTTTTAGTAGAATGTGTCATTGTATATATGGTGACATCTGTTGGTTTCCAGAGTACAATATCAGATTTAATGTTCAGTCTGTAGCTTTTATTGATATGATGCATATTTTCCATAAATGACTGATTTTGTGTTTATGAATAAATTAAGAAGGTAAGAATTGTTTCCTTTTTTTGTAAATGTTCAAATTCCTCACCTTTTCATCGGTTCACTGTTTTCTTATGGAGGGGAGCTCTTCCAGCCTATCCTGCTAGCAGGGCTTGGAATTAATTTGTAGGTTTTCAGAAAAGAAAACCTATTTAGAATCCTTTCATACTGATACATTTCACATTTTATTCATAATGACCAGCACAGAGATGCTCAGGAGTATATTGACTCCTTGCATCTTCCAAGCCCTGCTATTATCAAATCGGATGCGCTGAACTTGCACTTCACTCCATACATATATTCGGAATCCATTAATAGCAGACAAATAGGATGCATTTGGCATGCACACAGCACTCTTTTCCCACAACTTTCGTTTCCATTTCATTCCCCACTTAGGCTGACTTCAAAACTTTAGGATTTATTTTAAGTTCCTGCAAACATGACCAGTCACTTTGAAATAGAGTTTTTCTGCATGCATGAGATAGCACATAATCACTGTGGATTGCGCTTTTGAAGCCCTTCATTATGGACCATGACATAAGTCTGTAAAAGCAAAATGTTTGTCACCGAAAATAATAAAAATGATTGGAAAGTCTAATATTGACGTTTTAGCATGGACACACGCTCTGAGATGCTAGAATATGTGACGCTTAATACCCAGAAAAATCAGATTTGCACCAAATGTCTGCATGGTTTGCAGTGATTGAAATATCTAGTTTAAGAAGTAGAATTCACCCTTCACCTTTTTATGCACAATTTAATCGCTTTTAACTTGTGAATGTTATTAAATATTACTTTTTTGAAAGGCATGATTACTGATTGTGCTGCTACCAATGCACGACTACACATTTTTAATCCATCTGATGAATTAGTTATTTGGTTTTCCTATTTACTAACAAATCTCCAATCAATATATGGCTGATATCTGTTGAAATATACTTCTGTTAATATGCACCTTAATCTCTTCAAAACTTTTCTTCAAATCATAGATGCACAAATTAAAGCTTTTCATTTAATTGCTTTTTTTGTTTATTTTAATTTAAGCATGCTAAGTCTTTGTATTGTGTTTTTTTTGTTTGTTTTTTAGATTTGACACAGTTGAAGGCATGTAAGTGGTCATTTCTAATTTTTCCCAAATTTTTTTTCTAAAATATTTTGATTTATTCTGCTTTCTAATCATTTCTACAACTGATTCTACAATAGAGGCTCAATGCGGAATAAAATAAAATGCTAGATGATGAAATAGTAATCCTTGAACAGTCCACATGCTGCGATAATGGATCACCATCCCTACTCTAGCGTAAACATTATGGAACATGGCTTTCCATAAATGTATGTTCTGTATTTTACAAATAGATTAGTAACAGGATGCGTGTCAGGCTTTAGACTCCACGAGGGCCCCTTTTTTCACTGCACACCTAGCTGTTCTTATAGATAACTTTGACACAAATTTAGATGAGACATTTCTTATAGATCCCTTACCATAGCCAGTTGATTGCACTCTAATGGCTATGGTACTTAGTGTGCCTCTAAGAATTCTATTAATCTAATTAAACTAACTTTAATTTCACACCATAAGATTTCCTGTTAAAGAAATTAGCATAGGTCCAGAGATGCTTATGTTTTCAATGCATTACAGTGAACTATATATTTATAGTGATGAATTACCTTAACATTTGAATAATTCCTAAATAAAGTTGACATATCTTGTACTCCAATCCAGTAGTAACTGTACTTGTCCACCCTGAGCACAGAATAGTGCGTATGCCATTCACAGCTTTCCACATCATTTGCTGTTCAGAATCGGCATTTTAAGGGCTTTGCAGCTCTATATCCATTTACACATCTGGTAAATACTACCCAGAAGCTAAACCGTGCCAGATTTGCTCTTAAGTTATGCACTAGCTTTTACAGAAAAATGGAAGTCACTGTGAATACAGGGAAGCTGCTGCCATGTGTTGTCCAGTTTCTCCCTTAACATGATGTAAACACAATCAATCGAAAACACTTTGACAATCGCTATTAGAGGTTCCAATCATGAAAATGACTTGTGAATTTTACTGTTATGTAGCATTGAATAGTATACATGCTTGACTTGTTATTGTGGTTTTTATGATATGCAGCAGTGTTAATTTTGTCAACTAAAAATTTTAGTCGACTAAACTTTGAGATTTTGTTGACTAAAACTTAAACAATTCAAATGACTAAAAGACGACTAAAACGGCTTTTTAGTCAAAAGACTGACTAACACTAAATTGAAATTTGCCCCCAAAATTAACACTGGCAGGTAACAAACATGGGGGAGGGAGGAGAGAAAATGAGATACATGGGGGACTGAGGGATTGAAACACATGGGGAACTGGGGGGAATCAAAGAGACTCCTCACATCATAACCACTACAGCGTATATAATATTATGAAGCTTGGAGTAATAGCTTCGTAATATTCTATGCTAATTATTAGGAGAGTGTTCATTATTTTTATATGTTCATTGTTTATATGCATTGCTGTGATTGACTCTGAACACGTCTTTGTCCCATTTTAAGATGTCCATCTCAAAAGAAGCAACAGGAACAAGGCAGAGTAATTTCATAGACTTTTCCCTTTTGTGCTTTATTGGCACTTACTGTAGGCTTTGTCATTATTACCTACTGCCTGCACTTGGCTAATCACTAGTTTGCTTGGTGAGTGATTTTGACTCCTAAATCTGCCACCTGCTGCGCGAGTATTGCTTTTAGAGGGGCAATAGATGTTGTCTCAGACAGTTTAATTTTTTATTAGTAGAATCTACAACTGTATTGGACTGTCTTTGTGGTGACAAGATGTCACATGAAAATGTAGAAACCATAGCTACAAATTTCAGCTAAGCCCTCTAAATTTCTAAATAAAATATTTATAACACTGGTCGGTGCAGCCCATGTTAAAAACAAAACTGTTATAGATTTGTGGCAATCCTCCATCCTCTGGCTTCATCCCAGCTCTTCCCCTACCCTTTTGGGAAGCTATGAGAAAATGTGGATTCTTCTTAAACATGTGTTTTGGAATCTTCAGGATGGAAAATCTAAATCTCTTTAAGCATAGAAGAATATTTTAATGAAATGGCTACTTAAAATGCAGTGTGTTTGCCAGAATTCCACACTCTTTCCAGTAAAACAGTCTGCAATGTTTGCGTAAAGCTCTGCAAAATATTCCCCATATTTTACCTGTTTCTACTTGATGAAATCAAACCCTTGTTTGTTTTTGGCGTGTCATATCAGATAACATAAATATATTCAATTGCTATATTTCTTTGTGTCTTGACAAGGCATTTGGATTGAAATATTCCTATGGTTTTGCATTAACCACATCCATGTTTTCTTAATTGACAACCGATCACTTATTTATACCACTGCATTGCAAATACCTTTTCCATACAGGTACTTCACTACATTAAATCCACTAAGGCATACCATATAGGCTTTTGTAGAGTCGTCGTTAGTCAATACACCTGCAAGAGTTTTTTTCCAATTATTTTGAGGCTGGGCGTTTTTTTTTTTTGTCTAAAAATGTCTTTGTAAGGTTTAGATTCACTGCTATGTTAGGGAACCATGCCATTTAATATGGAGGATATATATATATATATGCCATTATAACTTGCTATCTCATCATCTCATTAAACACATCTTTTCCTCTTTTCCAACAATTAGCACTTATCTGAGGTTTTACTAAATCAGTCGCTGTTTATATTTCTTGTAGGAGTCCTCTGGCTCAAATGGAAGAGGAAAGAAGGGAACACGTGGCCAAAATGAAGAAAATGGAGATGGAAATGGAGCAAGTGTTTGAAATGAAGGTTAAAGAAAAAGTGCAGAAGCTTAAGGACTCTGAAGCAGAGGTAAAAGCATGTGTTCTATTCCTTTCCATATGGAAACCCCCTATAAAACAAGTTCCAAGTTAAAATACCATGGTAAAGTAGTAGCAAATGTTAGTTCTTTGCATAAAATGAGATATAAAACCGTATGTGCGGTTTCTTAGGAGTTTGTGGCAAGCAAGAGGCTTTCTTCTGAATATTGAGAATGCCATATTGGAATACCTTATACTCTTAAATTATATTTAAACCCTCCAAACAAAATATGTAAAAACGAAGGTAATCTACTTCTAAATTTAACATAAACGCATACTTTATGATGAAAAGATGATTTTACTCTTCGTTTCTGCCACGCCGCACTGTAAAAAAAAAAAATTCAATTTAGTTTTAGTAGTGGATATCTGGCTTAGAAATGGTATGTTTCTCTCAGCCAATCAGTGGTGCCCCTGTCAGGCGGCAATCTGCGCTACCTGAAACTGACATTTCAGAAGCCGGATGTCGACTGGCAGGGAGTGAAGATCGACGCTGGAGCCAACTTTGGAGTTTAACTGTTTGAGGTTTATCCCCTGAAGAGGAGAGTGCCCCCTGGGGTGCAACTTAAATTAAAGTTGTTTGGTGCCCCTTTAATTTGTATCGCAGTCTTTCAATCTTAGTTGTGATGACAGCAGCACAGTTACATTGCAGATGGTAGTTGGCTATTTTGAGCACCAGTAACTTCAATAACTATTATTGCTAATAGCTTCTAGGAATTAATTTAATTTGTTGCACACCTATAAAATAGTCTCCTCAACAAGAGTGTGGTGAGGAAGAGTGTAATTGTTTTATGTATGAGTGTGATTTGGTCAGTCTTGCATAGCCCAATTAAACTAGCATTGAATGTCTGTTTAAAATGTAATCTGTGTAAATGCAAAGTTCTCTCTCAACATAATCCTATAATTGTTTTCTTCTAAAAGTGATTTATTGCAATAACATCTGAGTGTACCTGTAGTGGTTTAATCGTGTAAAGATGGTTTATGAGACAGTCTTTATACTGTTTCAAGGACTTTGTTGCACCACTGCATGCAGGGAGTACAGGTTAATTTCTTTCTTTTAGGCCACAATGGGGGTATCATGTTTGTTTCATGTTCACATCTCACCTGGTAGTTGCATGTATTCCATCCTCGCCTCTATAATATAGCTGTATGAAAAAAAAAAAAAAACACTGTTACTATAGTAACCATTTATGTAACTACCAAGTTTATTCTTTGAAATATCATGCAACTTTGTGCGCCTGCTGTCAGTTCGTAAAGAGAACAGTTGATTCTACATTATGTAAATAAAGCCTCAAATATAACGTGCATGTGCTTCAAAATCCTGTAGCGTTTAACTTTTTAAGAACAAATGTCTGTCACACACATCAGATCACTAAAGTAATCATCGACCTGCTTTGTTAAATATGATCTGTATAAATATGTGTAGCATTATTGACAACTTAGATATTACATTTAAAATGTGTGGGTAGCATTATTGACAACTTAGATATTACATTTGTATGCATGTATCCTGGACAGGAAAATATGGATTGTGTAGTCATTTGCCATATTCAAGAAACAATTTAAAAGAAAAAACAAATTGTCTAACATGCTTGAGCACTCTGATTTGTCCACCCTTTTAAAGATTTGGTAGATCTCTACAGACCTAGTGATGGTGCATAACCCAAATAAAACATTTTAGGGCTGCAAATTATCTCTAGGTTACACTCCTATGGCGAGTAAGAAAGTCAAGCAGAGGTGGGGAATATTCTTTTTCATTCTGTATAATCACACAAGTTATATGAACATTTTGTAGATGAATATTCTTTCAATTTGGAAGTTTTTCTTCTGCTTAGTAGAGTGAAGCTGTATTTGTCTACCTCTCAAATCAGACATATCGGGTCTTTAATTACCTCAATATGACGAGTTGAGAAAAACATTGAAAAGGTAATCTTATTCCACATATCTGATGGTTTAATGGTTCCCACTCTTCATTACAGCTTCAGCGGCGCCACGAGCAAATGAAAAAGAACCTGGAGGCTCAACACAAAGAGTTGGAGGAGAAACGGCGTCAGTTTGAGGAGGAGAAAGTAAACTGGGAAACTCAACAGCGCATACTGGAACAGCAGAATTCTTCCAGGTAATGAGATTTGCCTATTGCAGGGATGGGGGATCCATTGTTAGCCATTTCGAGAATTAGGATGTGTTTAAACATAAGTAAACCTTAAATAGAAGATCATTTGGGGTTACATTTAAAGAGCAGTGCCAAGATGCTAGCCCATGCACAAATCTGGTATAAAACATGAAGAAACACTCAATAAACAATGTCTCTTTATATCTTGCCATACTGGTATGCTAAAACTGTAAACTTTAAATGGTGTCACACTGATTTAGCTAAAACGAGAATCTGTGCTTTCACGACTTTAAGATTGAAATCACAATCACCATAGCAACTCAGTGGACCCTTTTTTTTTTTTAAATACATTTTCTCTTCTCGTTTGGTATACAGATCTATCTGATATTATACTGATATCTAATTTGTGCTCATATCTGCTAAACTCCATTTAATACCCTTACTTCTGCAAAATAGCATGTACATTGTTTCTAAGGAATTACGAATTACTTCTCTATTATAGAACTTCATTTTTGTCCTCAAAACAAATATTTGCATGATTGCAGCTATACATTCCATAAGAACTTATGATTAGAGCAGTAATGCAAGTTGCAGTTTTTTGGTTTTTGTTTTCAATTTTAACTTTAAAAAAAGTTATCTCCTACATCCATAGGGTTTGCTGCATAGAACAGATTGAAAATGGACAAGTAGTTTTAGGGCAAAAATAAGTGACTTTTGCACTTTACTACTTAATACAATTTTTTTTACACTCGCCTTTAGGACAGAAACACAATTGAGGTAGATATCCAAGAGCTGGGGATAACCGCTATAGTGGGTTAATAGCCAATTTGCCACGAGAACAAGAACTATCAATGTTTAGATCTCTGCTGGACCAAAGCAAATTGGACTGATTTTACATACAAATTTAAGTAGTCTTTAATGTTCTTGTTTGGAGTAGACTCTAGGCTTCCCTATTCTGATTTCCAGCATTGATAAGAGTCTTCTCACGGCATCTTTACTCTTCTCCCTGGAGAGCACAAGTATTGATTATGTCCTGGCCAATCCATTGCTTCTCAAAATAAATTATTGAAAATAAGGTTAATGTATGGCAAGCACTGCACACTGCCAGTAGAATAAGTCTCAGAGAGAAGCACCCACTACTGCTATAAACTAGTGTTCAAAGCAACTTAACTGGAAACCATTCAGCATGTCTGACAGACTGGATAGTGCGACTAATGTCATCTAAAGGTATAAGTAATTATTTCTCTTGAGACTAAAAGTACGGAGCTAGTAACCACTAAACTGAACTTTCCAGAGCTGAAGTGCTTAGTGGACTGGAGTGTTTCTCTAAATTTCTTGTTTGTTAAATAGAAGTAAAAAACATGCACAAGATCTATTAGAAATTTGTATGGAAAAGAAGTCCCTTTTGCTTTGGTAATGCCTTGGTCCCGTAGTCGTCTAAACCACTATTAACCCACTATAGTTGTCATCCTCCGTTTGGATAATTACTGCAATTGTCTTTGATCTGTAGTGGAGAAATGATGACTATTCACTTAATACTAGTAGCATAATCACATTTATGTGTGTGTGTGTGTGTGTGTATCTTAATGACTTTCTCTGTCTCTTTCTATTCTTAGAACCTTGGAGAAAAACAAGAAGAAAGGGAAGATATTTTAGAATCATTCTTAGACCCCGTACTCTATCAGTTGCCAATTTGCCAGCCCAGACATCAGTGTTCGTTGGAAACATTCAGCCACTTTTCAAAACCAGTTGCATCCATAATTGTTGGATTAAGCGGCATGACATTTTTTTTTCTTTACCCTTTTTTTAATTCTTATTGTTGACGGAAATTAAGATGCCTTGAATTGTTTGAGGTTTTGCATACTTGGAGAACTATACGCTGCAAGTAACTTGCTCCCTTTTCCCCCCACTTTCTCTTTTTAACCGATGCCTTCGTTTTAAAAGCAAGACAAAGCATTTTACTGTTGTATAACCATGATCTGGTGGCTGGTAGCAGGATAATCTACAACACAAGGACTCTGGCTTACAAATGAAGATAAAAACACCATACTTTTGTTGCATCTTCTAATTCTCTCACACGTATAACAAGACTTCCATACATACGGTTTATTGTAATTTACATTTTGTTCCCCTAATTTTGACAATTCCATTGTTTAAAACTACACATGGGAATATAGGCTTACAGTGCACAGAAAGCTTTTTTTTTTTACGTTTTTTTTTCTTTTCTTAGAACCACCCTCTTGTGTTGGGGAATTCTTTACTTATATGCTATTTCCATTTAGTAACTTCTGTAGCCAGGAGAAAGTACTGCTTCCTTTTGTAATAACATTTACTTTAGATATATTTTTCCAAAACTTGGTCCTACTGAATTAAAATATAGCTTATTTCCTTACGGTAGAACCAATGAGTAAAAACTTTTTTTTTTCTTTTACCTCTTTAAATCCTTCCCTAAGTTTTGTGGTAAAGCAGCAGGAATGATGCATTTATAGGTCATTTCTAGATTAAATTAACAACCTGTCTGTTCCTACATTATCGTGCATTTTATGTTTTGCTAGAAACGGGAATCATGATCTCAGAGAGGAACATCACAATTTTGCATTTAGCTGTATTCATATACTGCATTTCTGTATTTTTTTGTTTGTATTGTACAAAGTCACATAATAAACAATGTTGTGATGTAATATTGCCAATATTTATTTTTTATTCCTAGTTTGTACACTTTTATAGAGTATGTTATGTTTTGTGCACACACACAGATGAAGCATTCACTGGATTTAAACAAAAAAAATCAATGGTATAGATTAACTTTTTGGATTTGGCGGGTCCTTTTTCATGATGGAACAAGTGAATTCAAAATATAGGGATGCACGAGTTGAGAAAATGAAATAAAATGATCCAAGCAAAAATAGAGCAAATCTGCCTTTTTTTTCCATAAACATGCTGGGATTTATGTCAAAAGCTGGGTTTGTGAAAGCCACAGATCCAGTGTCTGCTGAAGTCCCAAAAAAATTACGTTTTTTTTTTTTTTTTTGTAGGTTGGGTAGAGCGATAGGGGCTGTGACATAATATACATGGTAAACAACCAGAATGAAATATTTTGGAATGGAGGAGTCGAAACGGATAGAAGATAGGCAGGGTTAAAATGCAGAATGCTGCAAAGTATATTTTTCTCAAAACATACAAAATTTAGCATACAAAAAATAAAGGTAATTGAACCTATAAAATGATACCTAGAATGTCACACATTTAACCACATTTTACATGTGTAACAAAATGTGTTTCTGCTTCTATGCGGAGAATTCACATCTGATATAGTGCTAAATATCTCTATTTTGCCAGCCTCTACCATAATGTTTTAAATGTTTTTTGGTTTGTGTTTTTCCAAAAATAGGGAAGTTACAATTGCTGTGTTGACATTCCAGCTTATGAATTTCACTAGTTGGGAAAATGCTGTCTTGGATCTGAAATATTTTAACCTATTTTTTCATTTTAATGTGGTCAATGAGAATCAATTTCCTATGGGCCATTGTTTCCCCCAAGTGAGAGAGTAAAACAAATCCCGAAAAGTATTGTATAATCCTCCTGTGGGCAATTTGGGTGCAGGCTCTCTAAATAGACTAGTAATGTAACTCTTCATAAATGGAACAAACGTAAAAATTATAAAGATATGAGGATTTTACTCTTTACCTCTTCAAGATGCTTGTTTGTGCCCTTTGGTGTTTACACAGCATAATTATGCAGTCACCTGCCCTGATTCGTCTCTTACTTTTACTCATCCTTCTGCAACTGTCAAAAATAAAATGAATGAGGAAGAATATTCTCATTAAAAAAAAATGCTCGGCTTACTGGGATTTTTGATCACTGATTATTATAGCTAATTGTGTTACTTTTGAAATCTAATACAGGATTTGTTTTATTTGTATGTGATTTGGAGATTTTGTCTATACATTCTTTCAAAGTACTATATATGAGGTCTGTAACCTGTTTGCTTTGAAGCTCGAAGCTAAGCATGTCAAATTCAAGGGCTAGCACGGGCTAAATAAAGTTTAAGTTTATGTGGGCTGCAAAAAAAAACCCTTAAATTTTCATAGAAACGTAGGTTAATTTTGAAAAGTACAGTATAAAAAAAAGCTTTCTCTACTAAACCCCCAGTCCCCATCTCTATACTAAATCCCAGTCCGCCCCTTTATACTGAATTTCAGTCCTCCCTCTATACTAAATCCCAGCCCCTGTTTATAAAAAAATCAAACACATTAGCCAACCAGCAGACTCCACTAACATTGCCTCTGCCAGTATGTGACTCTGGCGTCCAGCATCTGCTATACCGCCAATGGTGCCGTCCGCAACCTGTGCCAAAGCGGATCCTCCCGCTACTCCTTGAAACCTTGTGAAGGTGGAGCACGTTGACATCACGTCAGAATGATGTTGCGTGCCTCCTTGCACCTCCAGGTCCAGCCGCGGCCATCGCAACACTGACCAACACACACTCGCTGACAGAGCTGACCTTTGGGAGCTTGTGTGGGGGCTCTCCCTAGTGTCCAGTGGGGGGTCTCCCTTACTGCTTTCTCATGCGCACAGTTTAGTGATGTTGGGCTGGAATAACTTCATATTCCGGCATCACTACAGAGGGCGCGAGCAGTGAAGAGCAGGAAGAACAGACTGAGCAGCCTCGCTGCCAGCACTTGCAATGTGGGGAGAGCAGGTGCCTACTCTGCCTTAACTGTAAGCATGTCAAGCTCACGGCTTGCTGGGGAGCAAAGATTTTCATTGTAGGCCGCGAGTTTAACATGCTTGCTCTAAGCAGTGTTGCTAAAGTTATCCTATTCACTGCAGTCTGCCCTATTGGTTATGATGGTAGAGGCGCCAGGGCTGGACTGGGACAAAAATTTGGCCTGGGCTTTAAAGGCATAGCATCCCTATACTAGAGGAGGGGGCAGAGAGAGGTTTGTGTCAACACCAATGTAACATAAATATTTCCCCAACATGGGCTTGTCAGTTTGATAGCCATGTCCAGAGCCCTGCTGAAGAGCTCTTGCATGGGGAAAAATTCCTGTGTTGGCATCATTACCTGTTAATAGGACAGACTGTTTAGCATTGGTATGACATCTTACCTAGATCTCACTTGGTACCCATGTTGGAAGTTTAAAGTACTACTGTCACCTAAAAACGATTTTAAATATAATAATCCTTTCATCAAGTTTTATTAGGAATTTGATTAGAAAACCTCATCCATATATCTAATATATGACAGGCCCCGATAGCCATATACATAAGCACCTTGGGTCAGACAGTGTTAGAGTAACAGACAATCTGAATACACTGATCAGCAACAACATTAAAGTCACTGACAGGTGAAGTGAATATAATTAATTATATCATTAAAAGTGCACCTGTCAAGGGGTGGGATATATTAAGTGAATAGTCAGTTCTTGAATTCCAAGTGTTGGAAGCAGGAAAAATGGACAAGTGAAAAGATTGACTGAAAAGTAGTGGGAAAAAAATCTATTTATTTTCAAACAAATTATATTTTTTATTGGAAAAAAATATTTCAAAGTCACAGTTGTCCTTTAACTACATCAGGGTTCTGCAGAAGCTGCAAAACAATTGTGCTTCCTTTCATTACAGCGCTCTCAGCCAATGAATCACCTTTTGTGAGTAGAATATGCACAGAATCGACATAATCCTCCCCTGGCTATTACTGGTGGTACTGATAATGCAGCCAGAGGTGAAGTTATAGAGGTGCACATACACACTACAAACACCATGACTTTAAAATCACTTAAGTGCTTGGAGTAACCCACTGACGGCATCATTAGGCATATTCTAATTCTTCCTCAACAATAGAAGAAAAGGTGGTACTGGTCAGAATTTGACTTGCAACAACCCTTGTGAAAATAACAATGCCATATTATTGTAGGTTATGGCCAGCCCAGAACGTTATAGTATCTGTAAGTATACTTGGTGTGAAGTATGGCTTTGTGGTGAGTGTAAGGAGAGCGCTAACAGACACAAGAGGCAGAAGGATGTAAGTGGGTCATGCACAGCAGAAACATCACAAAACAACATGTTGCTGGGCACACACTAGAGCAGGGATAGGCAACCTTCTGCACTCCAGATGTTTTGGGCTACACCTCCCATGATGATTTGCCAGCATAACGGCTGTACAAGCATATGGGAGATGTAGTCTATCACATCTGGGGATGCCTAAACCTGCATTAGAATGTGTTGAAATATGGGAGTGCGGCTAAACTGCAGTGTACCAAACTGGAGGCAGGGGATGGTGCACACAGCACCCCTGTCCCGACTGTCACTCTTTATAGCCTGGCTGCATGGGATGTGGGTAGAAGATTTTATTATCCCTTATAAGGCTGAGAGGGAGCTGCAATACTGATACAGGCATTGGGGCAGAGTTACATGACACCATCACTGGCTGCCTGGTACCTGCCACATGTCGATGGAGAACCAAGAAGGAATCACTTCCCAACCAATAGACACCAGTGACTGTTACTCTGCTACCCCTGTGCCATTAAAGGATGTAGAGGCAGCTTTCATAACTGTGTGTGTTCTGTGTAACTATTCATCTGGATGTGTGTCTGTGACTGAGTGCATATGTGAATAATTGTGTAACTTTGTATGTTGTGACTGTGTGATTATCTGTGTATGTTTCCATATTTGTGAGTGCGTTTATGACTGCATGTCTATGTATGCATGCAGGTCACAGTGAATGTGTATGTGTGTTAAGAAATAGACAAGAGGTAAAGGGGATAAGAGTCCCCCATCCTGTGCTTCATGCCCAAAAGTCATCCCCTTACATTGCATTTGTTAGTGCTGATTTATACTTTGTAATAAAATACTAACATGTAGATGTCTTGCTCAGATAAATCTTACACACTGACTTCTTTCTCATAGTGAATACAAATACAAAAAGATAAGTCCTGCGCTCACTCCCATCACCACAGTACACATAAGCCGCAATACATACAGTAAAAAAAGAAAAAGTTACCTGCACTCTCTCTTTAATCCCTATGTATATTTAAATAAATGGAGTTCATTTAGTTATTCCAATGGCCATTGGAAGGAATGCCCGCCTGCCAACATCAAGGCATATCCCCGTAGGCGGGTCCTACACTGACTATTCACCTTGCTTACTTGAGCTTCTGGCAAAGATATCTCTGAGACAGAGAGGGGTATTTTTTTTATATACACCCCTATATATATTTATTAACCCTTAATGGGGAACACATGGGATGGGCGGCAGCATTTTTATGGTGTTTTACATTATTTTCATATGTTTTTGTATCACAATCTGTGTAATGGAATATGTGAAACATCATGTGTCGTCATTTCCGGTGTTGCATAAAATACAAAATGTCAGAAATATTTGCCAACTCCACTGCATTTTCAACTTGACTATTTTCACCCACAATTTGCAATTTCTGACTGTGTCGGATAACGAACCAATGAGATAGTGGACAGGCCTCCTGGTGCAGTATTTGAGTCATTGGTTTAATTCCCAGTAAGGTCAACTCAGCCTTTCAACCTTCCAAGGTTGATAAAAAAAAAATTTTAAAAAAATCATGATCGGTATCATTAAGTTGTGTAACAAGAAGAAAACAATCCAATATTGTTTTAATGGCTCACACTTTCCCATCTTACTGAACACCAAGTATGTGGACAATGTTCCTATGCAATAAAAAGACTTGCAATAGAGACATCTAGTGGTCATTGTTGGTAAAAGAAAGAAAAGAAAAATCCTAATTCATTAATTTCTCTCAAACCAAATAATACAATTTGTTAT